TTCGCCCCCGATAAGTTCGAACTCATTCATTTCAAGAACCCGCTTCGCCCTGACCCTGCGGTAGAACGACCCGTACCGCAGGAATATACATATACTGAGCCGTGGCAGGGGGAGGACCCGGACCACTCAGCCCGTGGAGCAGTATAAAGAGCAAAAATACACATCTAGATGCCCTGAAAGTGGAGTTTATAAATGTTGTGAAATGTTCATGGGAAGGAGGGCAGAACGAGGCTGTATCGACTACATGCACGTAGCCTACTAAGGAGCGGATGCCATTCGATGATAGGATTTCTATATGATTTACCAATTGATTCCTCTATCGCACAAACTCTTTCCTTCTATATAGGGCGAAGGGCAGATTCAGGGGTTGAAATAGTGGCCAAGCCACTACAGATCAACGTGGTCCTATACTTTCGTATCAATAAATGATATGATCCTGAATACGTGGCGACCAGGCATTCAACTTGAGAGATTCTTTGCCAGGAACTCCACTATCTTGGGACCAGCCTCCGAAGCATCGTCATACAGATCAAAATGGGTTTTCTCTTTAACCACAACCAGCTCTCTGGGCTCCTGCGCGCGCTCGTAAGCGTCCCTGGCAAAGTGCAGAGTCTCAGCTTTCTCGCCGCCAATGACAAGGATCGGACGCGGGGCAATGAGGTGGTTGAAGCGAAAAGACTCATAGTTCACTATGTAATCAAAGCTCTGCGGATGAACGTTGCCGGTGGCTCGCTCGTGGAAACCACGCTTTGTTTTGTAATAGGTGGTCCCCTCGCGCATAAAGCTGTTGAATTCTGGGGGGCATTCGGCGGGTGAGTTGGGGAGAATCGCGATGGGTTCGACCGACTTGCCGTGGGCCAAACTCGTGCGGGCGCCGGCACTGAGCTGGAGCGCTGCCCCGATCGCCTCCGGGTTGAACGGATCGTCCTCGTTCGGACCATTATGACGGACCGCATAGCCGACACAGAAGGGCACGATAGGCACCACGGCCTTGATCCGGACATCGCTCTGAGCGGCCGCGCATAGATAGCCGCCACCACCACACACGCCCACCGCGCCGATCCGCTGAGGATCGACCCGGTCCGTGAGAGTGGTAAGGTAAGTCACGGCACTCTTGAAGTCCTCAACACGTTGCGCAGGGTTCTCCAAGGCACGAGGCGCACCGTCACTCTCCCCTTGGTAGGCAGCATCGAATACCAGCGCGTAAAAGCCTTCTTTGGCGAGGTACTCGGCGTAAAAGGTAGCAACCTGCTCCTTCACGCCGGTGTAGGGATGGCCGACGACAATGGCGGCACCACGGCGATCGGGGGATTTCAGTGCAGGGGCAAAAAGGTTGCCAACAATATTAATATCATTAGAAGGGAAGGTGACCCTGGTAAAATTCATCGTGGCGTTATTGAGTATCAACTAGGTGAATATTCAAAAACAAAAAGGTAATTGTGATATGGTCTTCATTATAGCTTGCGGGTGCACTCAAGTAACTTTATCTGCCTTCTCGTTCAAGGTTCATCTCAGGTTCAGTGACAAGGTGGGTATTTCCGGGTGTCGAGTAAGCCTGTCATCCGGATCGGAGTTTAGGTTCAGGGCAGATGGAACTGCCGAGCCCAGAAAATCCGAATGACAAGGCACTGATGAGCCATCACTTTGGATAACTATAGTACTGCACAAGTACCCTGTTAATTAGTTAACAAGAGATTCTGGTGTGTAGAGACATACAAGAGACTCTCTATATTACATTTTTATTAATAATAACTACTCGGCTGTTAGGTATTATGATATATAGCCGGTAACTGCGCACTAATGGACAAGGTCAGCCTGGTAGGTTACAGGGCTAATTGCCGTGTTATGACCGACTGTCATCAATTTATATTTGGTTACATTGTAGTAACTTTAGTACAGCGGAAGCTGGCCGAGTCTTTATTTGTCATTATATTTCACGGACCAGCAGAAGACTCCGCCCAAAACCCTGCTTGGCTGGGCTGACCGGGTGCATTTGACTGCTCTGTCTCGCAAGACTCAATCTCAACGCTGACATTCATTAAGGTTGCAGCTGAAGGGTTCCGACGTTAACTCCGGCCCGTTGTCATCCAGCCTCACCTGAAAAGTGCAGGTCCATCCACCCAAGTCTGACTGACCATAAGCTGTCCCACTCGCACACTACGTTGAATCTAGTGAATCATGAGGTCATACCCCACACTTAATTCTACTAGACAAGAATCATTCCTCTTTATCCTGAGGGGGGCTCAGGTTCGATAACTCTATAAAAGACCTCTTTCCCAATAATCAGAACCTACCAATAGAAGGATTTCATATACAGCATTTACAGAGTGCTCAATTTGCTGTCTCCAAGGTTAGTCACCAGCGTGCTATCTGAAAAGGTTCTTTACTACCTGCGGCTTCTCTAAAATGCATAAACTCAATAATAGAAACGACGTCAAATTTATAACATCGAAACAATGCCTGAAACGCTCATCATACCCAGCTCCTCCCAAGGCAGCCAGCCAACTCTCAAGCCCACTGCCACCTTCACGGGCGATGTTTATCTCGACATCTTCCACATGGATGACACCACTGCCATCACCAACGTGACCTTCACCCCCTGTGCGCGCACTTATTGGCACACCCACGAAGAAGGCCAATTTCTGAAGGTTGTCGCCGGCTCGGGTTGGATCTGCGACAAGGGCGCTGAGCCCCGCCGTATCAAGGTCGGAGACCTGATCTGGGCTCCCCCGGGGACAACCCACTGGCATGGCGCGGACGAGGGTGGCACCATGACCCATTTTGTCGTCGCCTTGGGCAAGACGACCTGGCATGATGCGGTGACGGATGAGCAGTACACGGTGAAGAAGGATTAGAATTTCTGAAGAGACAACAGGATCGAATAAAAAGCAACGTTGGTTAGATGCTCCAATTGAATCGGCCTTGCAAGTTTAATTGTTCAATTACTTGTACGATTAGAAATGATAGAGGCCAGGGTAATTAAGAAGTTAATTACATTCTGTTGGTCGATGCCAAGGTTTCTGGTACTGTCTCAGCTGTGAAATCTCTGCGAAATGATGGTACTAAATGATGGAATTTGCAGTCGGAGCTTCGTCAGTCAAGACACCACAACCCGCACGCACGTCCCTGCTAGAAGGACTCGAACTAGGTGAGGTAGACGATAGTTACATGGAACTTTAGGGGGCGACCTGGGTCAGGCCGCTACCAGTGACGTATACCACTCACGAACCACCTTCATAGAACGAGGCGGAAGGAGAGACAGCGTCAAGAGGCGCAGTAGGCTGCAGCAGGCGAGTGGCAGCCGGTTTAGTTGCGTTACTTTTTGATTTATCTGCTGCGTTTGTGGGTTTATAAGATTCTGCTGCATTCGGCGAAGCGCCTGCATAGCCTGTCGTTTCAATAGATAGGTTTCATCAGGTTAATAGAATTTTGAATGATTGATTGATTGATTAATTGAGTCTCCCACAGGACATTGGCTCGCTCAGATGAAGGTAGAATTCGACCAAGTACTCTGCCAGGTACTTCATATGGCCGGCATCGTTGATATTATATGGACCATATTGCTGCATGGTCATGAATGTCGATGATGATGAGCCTTTCCCGTTCAAATAACTAACATACTCGTCATCGTATGTGGCAATCACTAGGAAGATCTCATGTCTGCTCTGGGCTATAAGAAGCCGGCTGTGATCGCTAGTTGTTAAAGATTGCAATGGCACTTTTCGTCCTTGCTTCTGGTCGCCCATAATCCAGTTAATCACTTCAGCGGACTTTTGAAAAAATGTAGAACGGCCATCTCCTTCCCGCGAAAGGACACGCGGTTTTGCTTCTAAAATGGAAAAGGCCTCCTGGGTGCTTGTGCTTCCGAGTTCGCCCAAGAACCCGTCCGTTCGTGTCTCCATACTTGCGACGTTGTACGCGACGTTGTAGCGGAGCCGTCTCATGGACCAACCTACCTTTGAATTAGGCGTGGCAAGGGCAACCGCTTTGAGGAATTGTAAGAGAGCCGAGTTGATGATCTGCTCATCGTCGGTGGGATCCCACTTGATGCCACTATCCGCAGCTGCAGTGATATCACCCAGGGCGCTTATTCTAGCAGAGCTCGCACTGCGCGAGCTTGTTCCGGACTTCGAGCTTTGTCCTGAAATCGATCGCAACACTCGGGTCGACTGATATATTGAGCCCATCCTCACGTTTTGACTGTCGCTTTCAAGCAGTTCTTTCCGGCAAGATGTTGTCCACTTGCTGTTACTCATCGCGGACCATTTGCCAAGCGCCCAAATAGCATGGAGGTGAGGTTTTCTCACCGGATTTCAAATGGGCATACAATCGAGTGAAGTACTTTGACTCGGTGATGATCTGGCGTGTCCTGTCCTTCTTAAGTATCGGTGCCTTTTCAGGGTCTTTGCATGTCTGCCAAATCACGCGAAATGTGAGAAATCAGTCTTCGGCAATCGAGGAGCCGGGCTCGAGGACCTTCATATCGTTAATGGAGGTCGTTTCCACTCCAAGTCTCGCCGCTTCTTCCTCCCACGATTTCACTGTCTCTGGTAGGCGTGCAAGTTTGGGGAGGAAGGGTTTCTTAGACGCGGGTCTGTCCGTCGCCTCGGTAGAAGGAATAGGCGACTTTCTCTTGGTCCCCATGACGGGTAATATCCGTAGGAAAATCGCGTAAAGAAGAAGGTATAGAAGGTAGGTTTGAGACCAATTGAAATTGTTTATTGAAACGTTGTTTGAAGGCTATTTGCTTTCGATGTGTTCTTCAGTGTGGTCTCCTCTTCCAAAACCTCCCACCATAGCAGACGGTGCCCATATTGAGTTGTGTTACTTCGCTTTGTATACAACCAAGGAAGGAGCGACAGGCGTCCGTTATGCACAGCATCAGCTATGAACAGCATAATCCAATTAGGGTAAATAAGCGGTGCTTAGTGAAGGTTAAATGAAGACAAAGTAAAAGCAAAGTACAGGCAAAGAGAGAGCTAAATGAAGTCTAGTCAAGGCTTAATGAGGTATAATATAGCGCGCTAACTTTACTACTTTACATTCTTGCTTGTCTGCCAGATTTCAGCCACAGAGGTAGCCCAGAGCTGTATGTCTCCGAAGTTCCGAAGTAGTAAGTGCTGGTGGAGGACATACTCGATAGACTGACCAGGGACGGGTGCTCATGGGGTAGAGATACCATTTGCCCAAGCATTAAATCATGATTTTGGATGGCCATGAGCCTCAGCGGGCAATTACCGAAAATAAATCCTGTGCCCATTCCTCCAGTTCCTGACCGGTAAAGGCAATCTGGTTACCCCCAGCAGGGTGCTGCCGCAGCATAAGGTCAACGAAGTTGATGCGAAGCTCTCCGTCCGCCCTATAGTCGTTGGTATCAGAGTTTATCGGTATCAGCTTGATCGTCGCGATACATCTTGGCTCTGAAGAGTAAACGACCATGCCCCTAGTCGCTCGAAGTGTCCTAGGTACCTCAGCTCGTTTCAAAACTTCGCTTGCGACTGCTCCTTTTGCCGAATTGAGATCAACCAGGAGAACGACGTTGGCCCTTGGGTTGACGTCTGTCAACCACAAGCGGCATCCATTCATAGATGTAGGATGCTCTCACTTACCCCGGATTCAATAACGATGGTTGGGGGAAGCCCTGGCCCCTGTCTCTCGGGGAATGGTCTCATTGAGGAGTCTGCTTGCTTGGACCTTCGGCTTCCTACATACCGGGTAGCTGCAGGAAAGTCGACTTCTCTAGCCGGTGCCCCGAGATCCATTAATTTGGTTTTCATATTCCATATCAAAGACGTATGGGCTCGCTCATGGCCTTCGCCTGGTATCAATCGGATTCCGAGTTCCTGGGTCAGGAAGTCATACGTAAAACGTGCCCCTAACCGAAGGTTGTCTAGAGCTTCATACACGTCAAGGGGGAAGTCTATGACACTCAGAAACTGATAGGTGTGCCGCCCATCTCGAAGACCGTCCTTTTTGTCCTCCATGAAGGCTCGAAGCTCCTCGACGTTGGTAAAGGCAACAGTGTTCGCCATGATCAGCAACTTGGCCTCTGTATAGCCTTATTATTGTTTGTGATCGAGGCAAGGGAGGGATGCATCGGCTTACTGGAATAGCATATCTGAAGAAAGAGGGGAGAGGCAGAACTGCGGTAGGGCCAGGTGGTGAATTGGTATTGTTGCGTCACACTGTTCTCATATTTTATATCCACATCTTCTGATCCGCCCTTCCCTTCAGCAAGCACATCAAATTATTCCCTGCCAAGCTTATTCACCACTACTCTACCATGTATGGCGACTAGGATGCGCCTCTCGCCGACTACGTCACTTGCATCTAGAAGCATTAACTACGAGGCCGCCGTCAAGTCTCCTTCCCTTGACACCCACAAGCAGAAGGCCTTCAAAATTCGGTTCCTGAGGTGATGATGAACCTGCCAAGTGCCAATCCTCCGGAGTTCCTCCGACGACCCGAAATCTTAATCTAAAAGACTTCGACGCTTGTACCGATCAAGCTTTGCGGGTTGAAGATTGGAAGAAAAAACTCGGGAGAATTTTCCAAGGCCAATGATTGTGTCTGATTGAATGGCATTGTTATCAACGGAAACTCGGAACGATCAATTCAGGCAATATAATGGACGGATTGTCGCGATCGGAAGCCCTAATCATGCCAAGCATGCATCGGATCTAGTGTGAGATGGCGTGCTATGCAACCTCGATGACCTCCTTGCAGATGCCTTTTTCTTTTCTTCTCGTCTCCGCCCGCTTTGGTTTTTTTTTGTGGTGGTGTCCACATTCAAGGCTCAATATGGAATGAGTGGATAATTTTGAGTTTCCCCTTCAATTTCATGGTTGAAGGACTCGTTCTCCAGCATTTTTATTTCTGACTCTTCGCATTCCAACTGGACGGGTCAAAATGAGTGCCAAAGCGTTCGTGGTCGGCGCAGATAGGGAGCTGTCGCCTGGTCGCGTTGAGGCTGGTCCGGTGCCGAAACCGAGTGATCAGGAACCAGCCATCGTTCAAGATGAGGAGGATCAAAATCTATCGCGCAGCTTGCAACAGCGTCACACGCAGATGATTGCGATCGCGGGTGCGGTTGTAAGTTCCCATGTGTCTAATCCTTGCCGGTTGCACGGACGTGTGACGTTAACTGTTCTCTTCAGGGAACTGGTCTTTTCCTCGGCCTAGGAGGGTCTATACAGACCGGCGGCCCGCTGGGCGCATTATTGGGATATTCGCTTGTAGGGCTGGTCGTGTGCGCCATCCAGATTGCACTCGGGGAGGTGTCCGCTCTCATGCCCGTGACTGGCTCATTTGTTCGCCATGTCGAGATTCTAGTTGATCCGGGGTTGGCGTTTGCGATCGGTTGGAACGTCGTGTATGGGGCTTTTATGTCGGTCCCAAGTGAAATCGCCGCCTCGGTTGTGTTGATTCAGTACTGGACGGATCTCAATGCCGCTATTTGGATCTCGATTCTGATTGTGCTATCGGCATCGGTCTCTCTCCTTTCGGTCCGAGTGTATGGTGAGGTAGAGTTCAGTCTTGCGGTGATCAAAGTGCTTTTGGTGATTGGTATCATCTTGATGGGACTGGTTATTGACCTGGGCGGCGTACCCGGCCAAGAAAGATTGGGGTTTCGATATTGGGAGCACCCTGGGCCATTTGTTGAGTACATTGCGACTGGATCCTGGGGTAGCTTTCTGGGGTTCTGGGCCGTCATGACGAACGCCGTGTATTCTTTTGCTGGCGTCGAGAGTCTGGCGATGGCTGCGGCGGAGATGCGCAACCCACGACAGAATATCCCACGGGCGTGCAAAAGAGTTTTTGTGCGAGTCACATTGTTCTATTTTCTTGCCGTCCTGATCGTGGGAATGCTGGTTCGCAGTGATGATCCTCGACTCGGAGATGAGTCGGGCACTGCGGCACAGAGTCCGTTCGTCATTGCCGCAGTGCGTGCCGGGATCAAGGTCGTGCCATCGATCATTAACGCCGGCGTGCTGAGCTCGGCATGGTCTGCCTCGAACCAAAGTATGCTCGCGGGTACTCGCACACTGTACGGACTGGCATTGAAGGGTCATGCGCCGAAGGTCTTTCTGCGGACGACCAAGCGTGGTGTTCCATATGTGTGCTCCGCATTGCAGATCACAGTCTCCTGTCTCGCCTATCTCAGTTGCTCCAGTGGAGCGTATAATGTGTTCAATTGGTTCCTGACGCTGACCTCCGCGGGAGTTCTTATCTCGTGGATTACGATCGCATTCAATCACATCCGGTTGCTGAACGCTTTCAAGGTTCAGAAAGTGTCTCCGCACAAGTTGCCGTGGCACAATTCTTGGTCTTGTAAGAACATTCATACCCTATGGGGAGTAAAGTCCACCACTAACAGAAATACCTAGTGTATGCCTCTTGGTTCGCATTGACGATGTGTTTGATTTTCTTGCTCACCGGAGGCTTCGTGGTTTTTACACGAGGAAACTGGGATCCGTCCGGTTTTGTCTCCTCCTATCTGTAAGTCGCCTGCCATCGCGTTGGTGTTTCTGAAAACTCACATATATCCAGGGACATACCACTTGTCCTGTCATTTTACCTGGGCTACAAGTTTATCAAGAAGACTAAGCTTGTTCCATTACACGACATTCCTATCGGTCAAGCCTTATATGAAGCCGAGAATGACATTGAGAATGTCCCGGTTCGAACGAGCAAGTGGTCTCGATTCAACATCATCTGGGGATAGAATGAGTTCATAATAGCACATAGAATGACAGCGAAACATAGGAGCTTTAATAAAGATCCCTAATAGACCATGAAACTTTTCAAAAAAGAAATGTGGAGGTTTGTACTGTTGACTTTTACCATTATATATAATGTCCCGTCGACGGGCCACACATCTCATCAATGGCTTTTGGACCCTGTTGAAAGATTTTGATGTTTTAGGGACTGCGTGCACTGCTGCGGCCAGGAGAATGATGAAATGAATGGATGGATGCCTTGATCAATACTGAATTGATTGATTGATGTAGGAAAATCGAGGTCTTCCACGGTGTTGCCTATCTAAAAGGTGCCTGAAAGCAAAAGGCGGAATGCTCGGCATCTTGCCTAAGGCATCAAAATGCCTACCAAGCCCCGAGTAAAGGTCACGTGCATCTTGACCCGATGGATAAATCACGTGGAAGTCCACCTTGTCTGCCTTGACAGGAACAGGAAACTTACCCGGACTTCCTTGTTTTCTTCAATTCCGCCCCTGACGAGCCTTTCGATCCACTTTGACGATTGTTCTTCGAACCCCAGATTCCAGTTACAGGCAGATCGAAAATCCGTCAGCTTGTTCATACTCAACTAACGTCTGATTTCGACCTTCCGAAAAGCCTCATGTTTGATATCATGATATGTCCATCGCCCATTTTAATTCGAGAGTTCGCAGAGCCTCGTATACGGGAAGCCGCGGAGACGATCAAGAGTGGATTCTACCCACAGTACGAAGTAGCCATTGTGGAGTTGAACTTGGCGCCGCTTTTCCTTGCTCTGAGCCGCGGGTTGCATTGAAACTAGACTCAATCTTGAATGAATGAAGGTCAATCAAGATTCAAGGTTTGGAAGTTGAGTTATCTTTACTCTGCACATTTTCCATATTTTCCATACTCAGCCTCAGGGGCATATGGATGTTCATTTCGAGTGCCTATAGCAGACCAGGTACGAAGCCTGATCGCACCTTCCCAAAAAACGGGGAAAATAGACTCACCTTCCAAACACGGAAGAGGAGTCAGACAATAGCCCAACATCCGAACCAAGCCTTTCCGGGATCCAGGAGAGGTGAGCAACAGGCGTTGTACAAAATCATCAGACACATTTAGCGATATGGCACGACTATCTCATGATATGGGGATCGGACTCCATCCACTAGGTTTCAGGGTACGCCGATATGGACTACGGAGAAGTCCTCCGTACTCCACACCGATGATGTTGCAGATAGGTATACTCGGGCTTTAAATTTCACCGCCACCTTTGCCAAGTCGGACCCCATGGGAACCCAGTTGCCAATCAATGTGATTCGTCTAAACTGCACGCGGGGGCTAGTTCAAGGACGCAAAGCAATCAGGATGCTGTTGGAAGCATAAGAATGCCTGATTGGTCTGCGACTTCACTGAGAAACAATCCATCAGACCTTGTGAAATGAAAACGACGGCCGAATACCGGGCTTAAATCTTGGAACCGGCAGAGCCGTAGAATCCAACAGGCACCCCAACACATGATTAGCGGAAATGTGAAATGAAGATCTCTTCCCAAAGGAGTATCGAATATTATTGACCCCATCGCTTTGGACCAACGGTTGATAGGGCCATGTCAGAGATGTGTTTCTGCCACGCTTCCTGGAACGGTACTGATTAGATACGAGTTGTTTCAGGCGAATGGTCTCGTCGGCTTTTCGAAATTCACCTGGTGAGCCCATCTAGTTTTGTGCTATTCACAGCTTACGGAGTACCCGGTCTCTTCGTGAGCCCAGGAAATACCCACTGGAAAGATCGGCATGGTCGCACCGACAATATTACTCCATATTGCAGGCCCACATGCCTGGCTCTCGAAAGCAAGCGCAGGGCTGAGTCCACCTCCAAAATGTGAGGGATTCAAGTTTTCGACGGACTACGCCACTTTACATGGTAAGAGGGAATGCCGTTGATTAGAATCCAACGTAAGAAATGAAAAATCTAGATGTTGCCGTTTTCACGCGAGGGGCCTGAGTAATCTGCAGCACCGCTTATGACCGTCGGAATAAATTATCAGACATCTGGTAATTCCATCCTCCACTATGATGTACAACTCCTGCGGAGGAACGAGCGATAGCCCCAAGGGGAATTATTCTGGATCGAAATAGCGTTGTTATCAGCCACGCGACGAATGAAAGAACTGGCCCCCGATGCCCAGACGTTGGCCAAGGCACTATAATATCATCAAACGCCCTAGATCGAGTCTTGGCAGGGGCTTGCCGTAGCCACGGATCTACAGAGTAGTCACCCCGTTCTCTCATGGGCAATGGACGGAAGTCTCACAGGTGTACACCGGAGTAGGCATTTCGCCCACAGTGGCAGCGTTCCTAATCCAGTCAACGATGCGACCCATTCTATCTGAGATCTTGGGGGCCAGGTGAGAAACGCCTCCGGGGACCTATGACGGCCGATGAAGTTGCTCCTTTAGCTTGGCGGACAGGAGCGCCGAGATTGAAATTGAGTGACGGTTTGAGGTGCGCGGTTGTAGGTTAGGCAAGAGGGCGAGTATAAATATTCTCCCGTGGCCTTCCCCGAAACCCAAGTCAATACCACACTCCTTCTAGTCATTCTTTTCTAGTCATTCTTTTTGAAGCCCATACTCATCTATCAGTCATGGCTGCTCGAACGATTGCCGCGGTTGCGGTGCTGGCTGCCATGTCTCAAGCTATGAAGATCACTCCTCATCTGGACGCCCAGTGTTCAAATGCTACTTCTTTCAAATCGGGGATGGATGGAGTCGATAGAGATACGAAGGACTCAGTGGAACCGAAGGGTATCAGTCATAAGATGTCCCCTGTCCATTGGTATGATAGCATCGAGTTTCCGAAGGAAGCCGCCGGAGAAGGAAGCGGCGCATATGATGTTTGGTGGCGTGTTGAGGACCTTGACCCTGGCTGCCGCTTCGCGTTGATCAACTCATACACACAGAAATCGTACGGCATGGTCCCTGGAGTGGAAATGCCCGGGAACCAAATCCTCAACGTCGGCGAGACAGGATGCTTCTACAGCTCTCTTCCGGTTGGTTATCTCCATACGTGTCTCCATGCATAACCGATCCATGCTAATCTCGTGGTTCCTATAGGCTCTGCAAGATATTGCTGCTACCTTTTGCTGCGGAACAGGCGATTGTGGAGGAATGAACTTGGGCAATTCCGCCCTCGACAAGCGTGAGGAGGTTCAGCCCCCGAGAAAAAAGCGCGACGCGAGGAGAAGGCATGCCAAGGGCGAGGAGCGTGCTGCTTTGAAGGCTGCGCTTGAGCGCCGCGACGACGATTGGGATGGCTCGGACTGCAAAGCCGTGGATGTCCAAGATACTCAAATTGAAGCCGGCCCTCAGACCATCATCGGATCGACCCAGTACTGCGCCAGCAGCGACGCGTGCTTATTCCCCATTACCGGCAGTATTTCGTCTGGAACCACGCTGAGCAGCTCTAGCACTCAAACCATCACCAACGGAATGGATGTCAGCATCGGTGTTTCTGTCGGTACCGATTTCCTCGTCAAGAGTGAAGTGTCCACCACCGTCGGATACAACTTTGCCGAGTCCATCTCCGAAGAACAGGGAATGAGCGTGGATGAGTCCAAGACCTTCACCGTTGGCAACACGCTTAGCCAGAAACCTGGTACTCGTGCCTTCCTCTCCTTTACTCCCACTTATGAGTGTGTCGAGGCCTCCCTGGACTGTGGAGGTGACACCATCTCCGATCCGCTATGGATGTGCAACCCTGTGACCAACGGCGACTCGATCCAGGGAGATTACATCGTTGTCTACACTAACTAGGGTAGTATTACCTGGAAAACCGGGGCCTTGCTCTCTGAATACATCTATAATTTGCTGCTCCAACACTCTTGGTTAGAGCGAGGGAACATTGACTCAGGCTGGCATTCTGTATTCTTTCACCTCTCTTTGTATAATTCTGTTTAATCATATACCTCGATATTTTTATCATGCTGGAACCATGGTTCATTGAGTACTTCGTAGGCTTCAAGCCGGCTCTCCTCTGGTCCACGGGTGCTTTTTGATTTTATCCAACAGCCACTCTGCTGGCGCTCGCAGTCCAATACCATGCTATATCTTGCTGCATCACACCCAGCAAACTCTGATGTTCGCCTCGGAAATTATCCATGCACACCTACCACGTGATGCTGCTACTAGGCACCCCCAAGAGGCCGCCGTCGCTCGCGCGGAGTCATCTTCCCTAACTACACATATCTGCCGATTCGATCGAACCGTCAACATCATCGTTAAGTCTGTTGATTATCAGCAGGTCTATACCGTTTGCCTCATGAAGCTTAAATAGGCAAAGAGAATTCGAAAAAATGATGGAAAACACTCTCGCTTCCCAGAGGGGTTATCTTAGGCACATTGAGGTAAGTGGGCTCATTATTTGGTGAATTATCAATTCAACTCGCAACCCCGCTATTGTGTCTCTCAATAAAAGAATGGATTTATTAGAGTTTCCTAGTTAGAGCGAGTTGCTTTGTTCAGCTATGGATGTCAAGATCGCGAAAAACATTCTAGAATCAACTTACTTAAATTGGGCCCTCGACAACCAAGCAACGTGACCAAATTAGACCACATCCGCATGAACTCACAAACTCCGAGATTGACTCTACTCTACTCAATGAGGTATAATATCGAATACGTTCGCTCGGAATTTAGGGCTGTTGACCTCCATCGACCAATCGACCAATGAGCATCATGCCCGACGATCAGCAATTATGGCTGCGGATAACGCCATCCGCTAACAAACTTTTCAATTTGCACATCTCGCCCTTACTGGCCGATTGAGCACTCGGAATGGCTTATTTCTCGTCACAAGCATTCAACTTGGCTCTTGTCAGGCCGTAGTCTGCTCCTTCGTGGCGCTTGAAGCCGCCATTTGACCCAGGCTTAGAGCTTGGACTACCAGGATGGGTCGAGCGACGTTGCATTGACCGTAGCCAAGGTCACCATGGAGGTTTCCATTTTAAATGGAAATTGAATCACGTCATTCGGCACTGGGTATGAGGAAAGAATCATTTTTACTCTTATAGCGGGGGCTGGGCAAGTTTCTTCGTCAGTCCGGGTTTACTGTGGCATTCAATTATAGCGTCTTCTGGGTTTGCTGGTGTCGCATCACGAACCCCTTATACCGGAAAAATGGGCTTCCCAGCGAGGTTAAGGCGACTAGCTCAGTCTTCTGGCAGTTCACCTGATTCTTCGAACGTGACTAGCCATGATGAACCCAGCCAGATGTCTAAGTCGGCAACTGTGACGGAAGAGCCGAGCTTTGTGACACCAGACATCGACGACACGGAAAATATTATGAAAGTCAGCGAAACTACAGCAATCGAACAAGAGACCGAAGAAGATCCGGAGATAGCTGGCCTGCCCCGTGAGGTCCGTCAATTGGTAAACCTGACTGACGATCCCACCTTGCCGACAATCACGTTCCGATACTTTATTCTAGCCGTGGTCTTCGTCGTGCCGGGAGCTTTTCTCTCTCAAATGAGCCAGTTCCGTACCACGCAAGCTCCCTACTCCAATTTCTTTGTGCAGGTTGCCTGCCATTATGCGGGACACTTTCTGGCCCGAGTGCTCCCACCATGGATCATTCGGGTGCCCTTCACACCCTGGTCGTTCAGTCTGAACCCCGGCCCATGGAGCCCTAAAGAGCACGTTCTCGTCACAGTGACTGCGGCATCAGGCGCCATTTACAACCAAGGATATACACCTATCGCACTAGCGGAGTTATTTTACGGCGAGAGATTGAATCCGGCAGTGGCTATCTTTTTCATGTTCGCCATCGTTTGGGTTGGGTATGCGTTTGCTGCTATTGCGCGCCAGGTCCTCCTTTATGACCCGTCGTACATCTGGCCCCAAGCCTTGATGCAGACAACGTTGTTCGAGACATTCCGCAAACAAGACACCTCGTCACCCCTCGCACGACGGCAGCTGAAGCTCTTCTTTCTGTCTTTTCTGGGTATGACACTCTGGCAATTTCTCCCCGAATACGTCTTTCCGTTTACCTCGTCCCTCGCCTTCCTGTGTTGGGTGGCGCCCCATAACCCCGTCGCCAACTTTATCGGGTCTGGGCTCGGTGGTATGGGCTTCCTCAATCTGTCCCTAGACTGGTCGAACATCAACTGGAATGGGTCGTCTATTCTCCTTACTCCCTGGTGGACACAGGTCGTGCTTTTCCTCGCGTTCGCCTTCAATTGCTGGGTGCTTCTCCCCGCCGCTAAATGGGGCAATCTGGGCTCCTACAAACACGGCCTGATGTCCAACAGTCTCCTTATGGCCAACGGTACCACGTATCCCGTGCTAGAAGTTCTCACCCCGGACTTCCGCCTCAATCAAACCGCGTTCGAAGAGTATGGTCCCATGTATATGGGTCTTCAGTACGCATGGTCCACCTTCTTTGACTACGGCAAGATCACCGCCGCAATCACCTGGATCGCCACCTTCGGTTTCCTCCAGATATCCTCGAACTTCACCAAGTTCGTTGCCTCCTTCAGTCGCTCATCCGACGGTTCCAAACCCCAATCTATAAACCACCAATACCACGACCGCTTGAATGTCTTGCAGCGCTCGTACAAAGAAGTGCCAATCTGGTGGTACGTGGTATTGTTTTTCGCCGCGTTCCTGATCCTCATCGTCACCCTCGCACTTGGGTACCTCTGGATCCCCATCTGGACGCTTTTCGTCGGCCTCCTCATCTCCGCTATCTTCGTCATTCCGTTCGGTTGGCTCTATGCGATCTCCAACTACCAACTCTCTATAGGAACTTTCAACGAGATGATGTACGGATACATGGTGCACACGCCCGCCGGCGAAAAGCATCGACATCCCTGCGGCCCATCTACCTACGGCGCCATCGCCGGCGACGCATGGTACCGCGCACAAACCATGCTCCAAGACCAGAAGATCGGACACTACATGCACGTTCCACCGCGGACGGTCTTCTTCTCACAAGTCTTCGGCACCATCCTCGGCATCCCCATCAACTACGGCGTCATGCGATGGGTCCTGAACACGAAATCCGACTACCTCACCGGCAAGAAGCCAGACCCGCTACACCAGTGGACCGGACAAACCCTCCAAAACTACAAGACCATGGGCGTGCAGTATGCCGTGATCGGACCCAAGAAGATGTTTGCGCAAGGTCAGCTCCATGTCCTGCCGTACGCGTTCCTCGTGGGCGCTGTCCTCCCGCCAATTCTGTACGTTGCGCATCGGCTCCTCCCCAAATGGCGCATCGATCTCTGGAACGTGAGTATCTTTTTCTCCGGCATGGCGGTGTTCTACGGAAATGTCAGCACCGGGTACACGTCTGCGATCATTGGCGGGTACGTGGTAATGTACTGGGCGTATCGGAAGCGGTTCGAGGTGTGGAAGCGATATAGCTATATGATTGCCGCGGCGTTCGACGCTGGGTTCAACCTGAATATGTTGTTGATTTTCTTGTTCTTTGGGTCCGGGAAGCAGATCTCGATGCCGAATTGGTGGGGGAATAATGGGGTTTCGGTGGAGCGGTGTTTTGCGCTGGATTGAGCGGGTGTTCATATATACCGAGATGCAGTAGTGTAACAGATAAAACCTAGAACGAGGGGTATAATATGAAGTAACGTAACGCGATGCAGCCGCTCTTTCATTCAGAATATACAACCTCATTTTGTCGACGACACGACCTCCCACCGTTGCGTCTCCCGAATCATCACACGCTGACTCCAATTACTTTCCTCGCTTCTCCGTTCACCAGGCGTAATCTCACTCCTAGAGCCCTGACCGTTACATTCCCCATCCCCGAACTCCTCGGCATTGCGCGATAAATCTCCACATTAGACCCTCCGCCATGCGACGCCTCCAGCGACTTCATCGCGAAGCTACTCGACCCCGTATCTCCTTCACTAGTCAAATTCGTCGTAGCGCCCATGTGCATATCAAACGCCTGAAGAAATTTACGAAGACAGGGAAACGTGGCTGCGATGAGGGAAAAATGCATGACGACTTCGGTGATGAGGGTCGAGTTGGTGAGAGTGAAGGTGTTGTCGTTATGTGTTCGAGAGGCCTGGGGGGGGGGGGGGGGTGGTTTGTTGCAGAAAGAGGATCCGGATGATTGTTGGGAAGACGACGCTGTTGGATTGATTGGGTTGATGTTAGCTTTAAGGGGTTGGATGAGATAGAGGATGGAGGCTGGCTGGAGAAGATGGGAGGAAAGGGAAGGGAAGGTTACAGGAGCTGTAAAGAGAAGGCGAGGACGACGGTGACCTTGGTCCCGATGGGCATGTGAAGTGACCAGACCATAACGATAATTAGGCATGGGATAAGGAGCTCAATTGCCATGTCACGGCCTCTACGACAGTCCATTGAGCAAACTGTAGGTCGAAGGGAAATGATACATTAGCAAACAAGCAAAAAAAAAAAGAAAGAAAAGAAAAAACGTCGAAGACACGAAAACAATGGGGAAGACGTGGAGGGATAGTACCATAGTGCTACATTGAGTAGTAGCCCCGATATTCCATGGCTGAGGTGTGCTGCATTGGAACGCAATGAGAAAAATTGAAATTATCCCCCAGAGCAAGCTGAGTGCCGTGAGCGCGTAGCTTGCCCAGAGATGATATTCGGTTCTGGTGAGACGCGCGATGAGGAGGGCGATAGATACTTTCGAAGAGCACACAGCAATAGGGTAGAGAAGCCAGGAAACGTAGAGCCTCTGATGGTGTATACAGTTAGCTAAAGACGCGGGTAACGAGGGGGTCCGAAGAACCTTTAAAGCAACAGCCGCCTCATGGGATGTCAGCAACGACTCTCTCGTGCCAATGCCATGGTGGACAGCGTCAATTGTTACCGAAGTTTGAACCACCCCAACAACCTAAGATAAAGTACTGATGATTAGTTCCACAGGATTTAGATCAGTAAAGAACTAAGATTGACTCACTGTGCCAAAGATCGCAGCTAGATCATCCCAACCAAATGGAGGAGTTAGACGCAGGCGTAAGTAAACTCGAATTCCAATGATAAGCACGGTCCAGATCAGACCAACCAAGCTGGCAATTATCACAAAAGCCCCGTGCCTATCAGGGGTAACCTCGATATAGGTGTTTTCATTCGCTGTGGAAGACATAACAGGAGTATGAACATGAAGTAAAGGACTGGTTGATTATAGTCGTATGCCAGAAATTAGGGAAACGAGGAAGAGCATTGTAGATAAACGAGATTGCACCATAGTTGCGATGCATCTTTTTAAGAATTCGTTGTTTCCTCGAGAGCGGCAGGGATTGCGAGTCTAGTGAAGCGTTTGTGTACCGTCCCATCCGTAGGAAAGAGTATCATACCCCTGGAAGAGTACCGACAGAGCGGTTCAGAAAAGTCGTGGGCTCTCCATGGTTGCATCCACAGCATTATCTCACATCCCGACAAAACCATGTTTCTATGCACTTTCTATTAGCAAATACAATATGAAGTTGAGACACATCCCCCTATTGCGAAGATTTGAACTGCGAATATTTCAGACGGTTGAATTCACCTTCTCACTGAGGTAAAAGTGCAAGTTGGTATGTGGGAGTAGGTGGTGGCTTGCCCAGAAAGCTCTTCCACAGGGATATAAATTTGAAGAGAATTTGTGGTGACAAGGAAAACAAAGAAATTCAACATCCCCTAAGTGCCAAACCCTTGGCTGCATGAGCTAACGGCGCATCCCTCCTGCGCCGCACCCAAAGTATCAAATTCCATTGTAACGTTGCGCTAGGGGTCCCTTGCTGGCGGATTTGCTGGAAGCAAGCGATTGGACGGGTCTTCGACAGTCCTGTTCGCCGGTAATCAAGTTTCCCGTGCCGGTTTACAGCAGGTCCACTCCTGGGGTCAACCCTGGTTGAAAAAAATTCTCCTATTAACCGCAGCTGCCCGTTTTCATGCTCGTGGGCATGGGACTTATCCAACTCAACATTGATTTCCTTTCTGATCTCTGAGGCCGACCTTTTGACTTGTGCCGTACCGAAGAAACCGCCCAATATGTCGACATTCATGGCAGATCAAACCGAGATGAAGGAGATCAGTGTAGGGCAAACACCGCACCATATGCTGGCGGAAACAGATGCAGAGGCCTTGAGTGATCTGTCCGACGAAGTTAAGCAAGGATTCACTGCTTCCGATCAACGTGATATGCAGCGAATGGGCAAAAAGCAAGAGCTCAGGGTTGGCATTGCCCCCTTCCATATGGCGGTATGAATACTGATAGAAGGTAGAGGAATTTCCGAATGGTCAGCACAATAGGTTTTACTACGTGTGTCATGGGAACTTGGGAAATTCTCTTGACGTATGAGCCCCATGTATCATATCCTGCTTAAGTATACTGACCCGCAGTAGATCGAATACACCTGGCTTGATTGCGGGTGGACGGCCAGAGCTATTCTGGTCGCTGGTGTGGTCATATTGTGGCCAGTCTTTCATTGTCCTCTCGCTTGCAGAGATGGCGTCCATGTGAGTTTCCCAAGTCGGAATTACCTGTCACGATGTTGATATAATCTAGGGCCCCAACAGCAGGAGGTCAGTATCATGTGAGTTGTTCTCCGGGTGTTGACGAGTAAAGACTGACGATTTTCAGTGGGTTTCTGAGTTCGCTCCTCGAAAGTATCAAAAGTTCCTCAGCTATGCATCAGGTAAGACGAAACTTGCTCTTCCCCTAAGCACAAGCCTAACACAGCTTAGGTTGGCTATCGACAATTTCCTGGCAGAGTATCGTTGCACTTGACTCGTATCTCGTAGGAACCGTCGTTCAAGGACTGATTTCCCTGAACAACGAATCCTATGCCCCAACCCGTTGGCAAGGTACACTACTGGTATTCGCAGCTGCCATTGGCATGTCCCTTTTCAACATCTTTGGAGCCAAGCGTCTCCCACTGGCCGAGGGCATCTTTGTCACCTGTCATTTCTTTGCTTTTATCCCAGTCATTGTCACACTGCTCGTTCTGGCGCCGAAAGCCAAGGCTGAAGATGTTTTCACCGGATTCACGGACAACGGAGCCGGATGGCCATCAATCTCTCTCACTGTTATGGTGGGCCAAGTATCCAGCATGTTTGTTGTTCTGGGTGAGTGTAAATTTGTACCCTTGATATCATTAATTCTGACCCAATTCGTTCCTAGGTTCCGACTCGGTCGCCCATATGTGTACGTACTCCGCGATGAATGTTGTCTAAGCAGATATGCTGACTGTTTCCAGCCGAAGAAATTGAGAATGCCAGCGTGGTGGTTCCGAAATCCATGGTCTGGGCGTTTGTATTGAACATGCCCTTTTCCTTTGGTCTCCTTCTGTCCTATCTGTTCAGTATGCCCGACGTCCAAGCTTCGATCGATTCTCCTACCGGATTCCCTTTTATCCATGTCTTCCATCAAGCGTTGAAAGATACAGCCGGCTCAACGGTGCTCGTGGTTGTGATACTGGTGCTGCTCATCATGATCACGATCAGCTCGCTAGCCTCCGCGTCGCGTCAAACCTTCGCCTTCGCTCGAGATAACGGGCTACCTTTCTCCAGCTGGCTAGGCGCCGTAAGTTTCACCGACCGGGTTCCCTTGACATCTTTCTCATGATTAGATCAGGTCCATCCCAAGCTTCACATCCCCGTCAACTCGATCCTCTTTACCTGCGCCTTCTCCATAGTTATGTCCCTGATCAACATCGGCTCCACAGTTGCTTTCAATGCCATGCTGTCGCTCTCCACTGTCGCTCTCATGGCCACGTATTTCATCTCGATTGGATGCATCATCTTGCGTCGTATTAACAATGATCCTCCCTTGCCTCCCTCTCGATGGACGCTTGGCAGATTCGGCTTCCCGGTAAATATCATGGCCATGGTGTATTCGACGTGGTCGTTTTTCTGGAGTTTCTGGCCCAACGAATATCAGATCAATGCGCAGAACTTCAACTGGGCTTGTGTGCTGTTTGTGGGGTTGATGAGCATATCGGGGGTGGTGTACTGGGTGCATGCGCGGCGAGTGTACGATGGACCGGTCGTGAAGGTGGAGGGGCGCAAGTTTGTGTAGCTTGGATCCGTGGGGAATTGAGAGGAAGTATAGTACCTAAAAAAAGCTTGGCTTTCAGTCGGTTTCATAGATTATTTTCGACAAAGAGAGAGAGAGAATGGGAAATTTGTAGGATACGAGTAAAATCATTGAACTTTCTCCGTTCAGCATCCCTGCCGAGTGCCGGCCAGTATGACTCCGTCGGAGTTCGTCTCCAACTCCGCAGTACCTTATCCTTCACCTCCACTTCCAATGTTTCTCCATCCCCCTCCATTCATCCTCCCACATTTCCATCTTCATTTTAATTGTCTCATCAACTCCTCTCAAAATTGAACATGCCCAAATTCTACGACTCCATCTCCCCGGATCTCCGCGACTGGGCCCTCCGTCAAAGCGTCTTCTTCGTGGCCTCCGCACCCCTCCAAGGCCGCCATGTGAATCTATCTCCGAAAGGCCTCCCCGACGCCTCCTTCGCCATCCTCAACCCCAACGAGGCCGCATACCTCGATGCCACCGGCTCCGGAAGCGAGACGATCTCCCACCTGCACGAAAACGGTCGCATCACGGTGATGTTCTGCTCGTTTGATTCGTCCCCTCGTATCATGCGGTTCTTTTGCAATGGTTCCGTGATCGAATGGAACCAGCCCGAATTCGAACCTTATCTGGCACGCATGGGTGGAAAAGCAGTTCCCGGGGCGAGAGCAATCATCCGATTGGATGTTTTTAAGGTATGTTTGTATTTCATTGATCGCTTCTGGTGGCTTAACTTGACTTGATGATTTTGATCCTTTGACGGATGAGTCACTCCCTGCCATAAACGAATCCACTATCCCACTCCGTTGCTGAATAGACTCATCATGGAATATCTAGGTCCAAACATCATGCGGCTACGGCGTCCCGCAACTCTCTCTGACCACCGATCCCGACACGAATTCACCCAAGCCGTATCTCAAAGACCGCGAAACACTAGGTCACTGGGCCGGGAAACGGGTCGCGGCAGGCGAGCTCCACTCCTATCAGCGGGACAACAACAGTCGCAGCCTGGATGGCCTACCGGGTCTGAAGACTGCGGTGAAAGATAGCGGTCGGTCGGTGTTGTGGTCTGAGGTGCGAAATTGGTCGTATCGGTATAAGGCGGAGATTGAATTGGTCAAGACGTCGGTGTTGATTCTGTTGGTTGCGATGGGCGCTGCGAGGTGGCTTGGAATGAGTGTTTAGTTGGCTGCGTTGATCGCGTCCTATCGATAGACTGTTGGGTGACGAGGGACAGGGTACTGGTCGGAGCGAGATTGTATTGGATCATTCACGAATGAGAGCATGTTATATAGTCTTTCTTTTTATATACGTTAGTATACTATTCTCTTCTTTTCTTTTCCATGCTATCCGCGTAGTTAATCATTGAGTTAAATGCATCAGGAAATACCTTATTGGAAAGAAATATAATAAGACTGCAAAACCCGCGTCCCTCGAGAGTGTCGAAAAGATAACCCACGAGAGGCTCAACCTACTCCATGCACATCCTCGCGGGCCATCAAATTTGCCGGAGCCCTCGGGGAGTGGAAGACTATAGATAGAATTGCTCGAAATGCCTACAGATTTACTCTTCGAGGTAAACTCACCCAACCCCGAGAGTGCAAAGAATCGCGAAAATCCACTTTCAGGTCCTGGCCAATGGCAGACGTGTCCGGAGACGCGTATAGGATTTAAAGTAGGGAGAAACAAGCATTCACTTGTTCAAGGTAGTCTTCTAGATGGACCTACCCCGGATTTTCCTGTTTGGGCACTGTGCAATCCTCAATCTGTGGACTAATCAGGAGACCTGGACTTCCTGGATGTCGAAAGAATCGCGAAAATCCACTTTACGGGCTGGACCAATGGGTGATGTGGCTGGTGACACGTCTTTTGTTGCCAAAGTGAATTGGGAGGTGACCGAAGACGCGTGTCTACTGGGGGGAGAGTGAATGAGTGGAACGAACGGTGGAAGCCTACGGGTGGTAGGGGTATGCCGTTGATTATAGGGGAAAGCTCGGCAATTTGTTTACGAGTTGCCTTACATGGGCTACACCGTGCAGTAAGTAGTGGAAATCTATTCTAGACCTACATGGTTGAGCTCAAACCCGTCTTTCTGCTGGCTCTATCACTTCTTGACAACCCAAGAGAGGCAATTTTGAAAGGGCACCTGAACAATAATGGACACCCTCGTTGTACATCTAATCTTTCTACATGACTAGGCGCAGTGAATGCTGCCAACACATGGTCCCAATCCATATCTCCTGAAGCAAGCGAGACTTTATTGAGATTCACGATTCCATATTACTTAGCCCTTAGTGCCTTTCCAGTTATACTAGAGTAGTTTTAGACAGCAGTGGCACAATCTTGCTTTTACCCGCTCAATCCGACATTGGCTATGACCGTGACACTGTGACACAGGGGCAATCAAGAGAAGCTGTTTGAATATGTAAATCCCCCGCGATCCAAGACCAGACGTTGCCCATATGGTCGCCGAGGTCGACGATCTTATCGATAGGGCTCGATGGTTATCACTTATCAGCATGTGATGACATCATAACAACTGCCGGCCGTCCTCGATTTTCTGGCGGACAGGCTACCCTTCATTCATCATCCTTGTCGCTGTGTTGAATTGGAGTCCGTTGAACAAAATTGCTGAGATTGTGTGACTAGTCTACTCCTCAATCCTGTGAATCCCCAACCCCGCATCCCCAGACCGAGAACCGACCAGCTCCTCGGGCTCTGAATAATAGGCTTAATTGCCTTCAGGAGTACGCGTGGGTCTGCAGATCCGCCGCCGCCATCAGGATAAAGCATGATTTATCACATCCATTCCCAACTTTTTATTTCTTCCTTCCTCTGTTTATCTCTCAGAGGATCTACTCAATTACTTACATTCTTAGACAAGCAATGACTTCTCGACCCATCCGTATTGCAGGTAAGTCCTTCCCCATGGTGTGCCCCGGCTTGCAAAACCCAAACAACTCATACAAATATCCTTTGTCGCAGGTGCTTCAGGCTCCGCCTCAGACCGCCGCCATGCCATCGCTGAATTCGCTCGAAATCATTCTCAAGATCCGGTCGATGTCATCATTGCCGATTTCATGAGCGAAGCCAACATGGTCACTGCAGCCGCTCGGCGCGTGGATCAGGACCGGCAACATACAAGCACGTCGATTTCAGGGCAACCTGGGTTGCCCGGATATGAGCCTTCGTTCCTCTTGGCCTTACAGCCGGCTCTCGAAGATTTGGCCAAGCACGGCATCAAAGTGGCGGTCAATGCGGGAAATACTGACACCGAGGGTCTTTACAAAGCGGTGGCGGAGATGGTGAAAGCCAAAGGTCTAAGCCTAAAGGTAAATAATGCAATTCTAATCCAGGGATTTTGTTCCGTGCTGATGTGTAACAGGTTGCTTGGGTATCTGGTGATGAAGTTCTCGAGACTGTGAAGTCCGCCTTGGCTTCCGGCAAGTCAACCTTCAAGAACGTGTATACCGGAGAAACGCTTTCGGATTGGAATTTTGACCCCATATTTGCACAATGCTATCTGGGTGGCCTAGGGGTCGCCGCAGCGCTCGCTCAGGGCGCCGACATTGTCCTCTGTGGGCGAGTATCGGACGCATCGCCCGTAATCGGGGCTGCTGCGTGGTTCCATGGCTGGCAACGCAGTGATCTAGATCAATTAGCCAATGCGTTTGTGGCGGGCCATCTCATCGAATGTAGCAACTACGTCTGTGGAGGCAATTTCACCGGCTTCAAAACTCTAGAGAAACTAGGCGAAGATGGATGGTCTAACATCGGTTACCCGATTGCTGAAATCTCCTCGGATGGCAAAGTGGTGATCACCATGCAGTCTTACGCCACGGGAGGTGCCGTGACGGTCGATACTTGCTCGTCCCAGCTGCTTTATGAGATCCAAGGTCCTTGGTACTACAACTCCGACGTCACGGCAATTCTCAACGACCTACAATTCGAACAAATAGGCACCAACCGCGTTGCCTTGCGCGGAGTTCGCTCCGCACCACCTCCTCCAACGACCAAAGTCGGGATCACTGCTCGTGGTGGATTCCAAGCCGAGATCTCATGGTATCTAGTCGGGCTAGACATTGACGAGAAAGCTCGTATGCTAGAGGACCAAATCCGCCGTCTTCTTTCTCCACAATCATCCAAATTCACACAGCTGAAATTCTCCACGCTGGGTTCGGTCCCAGACGACCCTCGCGACCAGAGCAGGGCCACCGTCACCTTCCGCGTTGTCGTGCAGGCCCGCGATGCCGACGCCATCGCTCCTCATAGCTTCCTCCGGCAAATCACCGACAACATCATGCAGGGTTATCCAGGAGCGACATTCCACCTTGATACACGGCAGGGCTTCCCAAAGCCCGTATACGAATACTACGTCAGCCTGCTCCCACAGACCGAAATCAAGCACCGAGTTCATCTCCCCTGGAGCAACCAAGTCCTTGATATCCCTCCACCCCCATTAACGAAAGAATACCCATCTCGCCAACCCACCCAGTCTACAACCTCAGACCCAGCCACTCGATCGCTCGACTTCGGCCCTACCACGCGAGGACCATTAGGATGGATTGTCCACGCGCGGTCAGGCGATAAAGGCCCCGACGCGAACTGCGGGTTCTGGGTCCGTCACAGCGACGAGTACCTCTGGCTACGAACATTATTATCGACGTCCAAGATCAGGGAACTCTTGGGCGATGAATATAACGCTAATCCGCATCTAGAGGTGGACCGGTTAGAGATGCCGAACTTGCGGGCGGTGCATTTCTTGTTTCGGAATTTGCTGGATCGGGGCGTTGGTATTACTACGACGGTGGATTTCCTGGGGAAGAATGTTGCGGAGTATATAAGAGTTAGATGGGTGGATTTGCCGGTTCGGTTTTTGAATCGGGGGAAATTGTAGAGATGGGTGTTTTCTTGGTATGTGGTTATTTATTTATATTGTCGCGGGCGGCGGATCATGTAATTATTTACTACCGTCATGCGATATTTAACTTCATGAAAGACCGGTGAGCAGTACGGAACTCGAGAGCTTTTCTATTTCACGCTAAATCAACATAAGAAATTTCCTTGCGGTAACAGGTAACGCCAAAAATGCAACTGAAATGAGCAGTCGGACTACAAACCATAACCCTATACCCAAACCCTTCCCCGCACATGCCGTGCTTCCCTAAAACCACAACAGCCTACCTACGTCTACTCGAGCTAGGCATAGGTTCAAAAGCATCGTCGCTGTCGTCATCAATATCCTCACTCACCACGCTGACATCTCGCTGTCGAGTTGCGCGGGTTGGCCGTTTCGACGGACTAGCTGCACTGGCTTGTGAGCCGGTGAAACTCAGTGTCGTCTGAGTTTGCCGGCCTCGTGCGGACGCAGCAGCTCGGCGGGGCGCGGGCGCGGTGCCTCCTAATGTGTTCGAGGATGGGGCAGGGGAGGGCGCAGCGCGGCCACGACGTTGGCTGGTGGTTGGTTTTGCCGGCGCGGCAGATGCCTTGGATCGAGCCTTGGTGGGTGGCTGTTTCACGAACAAGGACTGCGAGTCATTGTCGTCTTCTTCGACGTCAGACAGGGCCTGTGCTGCACCTGTATCGTCGTCATCGTCATCGTCTAGCATGATCACATCGTCCTCTTCGCCTTCGTCGTCTGAGATGGCTCGTCGGCCTCGAGATTTGGTGGTTTTGGCGGGTGCCGCTTTCTTCGTGGATGCTGCCGCGGTCTTGGTACTCGTGGCGGCTTTGCGAGTACTGGTGGTTGTTGCTGCGGCCCTTCCACCGCGACCACGACCTCGACCTCGTGTCGATGTTCGGCCGCTAGGTGGTTCGGCGGTGCCGTCTGCCCCTGCTTCCTCCGCGTTGGGGTCTCCACCTTCGTTGTCGGAGTGAATGAGCGCACCCGGTTCGTCTTCCCAGGGGCCGTCTAGATCGCTGTCCCAGTTCTCGGGTTTAGGCTTGAAGCGCTTCTTCCCGCGCGTGCGTTTCTTGACACCCCGTGAGAACATGTCTTCCATTTGAGTACGGTATTTGTCCATGGCTTTTGAGAGCGAGCTCTCCACGACCTCTTCGTCCTTATCCTCGTAGTCGCGGTCCAGAGACATGAGATGTTTCATCTGGCTGTCGAGCGACTCGTTGACGAACATTTCCATAGCATGTTTGTCGTCCTTGTCGATGAACTGGGCCACCGCGTCCCCGAAGGAATTTTGCGGGAGAATGCTTAGAGACTGCGCCGAGAGGAAGTCGCGTACTAGTTGTTCGACCTTCACGGTGTCCAGGGTGGCGAGGTGTGAAACCGCGGCTTCGTCGACATCATCGTCCTTCTTGCGAGTGGTGGTGTTTTTCTTCTTGCGGTAGAACTGGACCACGTCGTTGACATTGGCAACTTTGCCGACGAACCGGTTGGAAAATCGCTGCGGGTTCTCGCAGTCGAAGCTACCACCCTCGGGTGTGGAGATCTCGACACGCAATCGCACAAGCGGTAGCGGGACCTCTTCTTCCTCGTCTGCTTCGGTGCCCTCTTGCGTTTCTAGCCATTCCGCTTTCGCTTCTTCGATCAGCTCCTCCACGATTCCCATCAAGAATCGTGTCACTTCTGTGCGGTTGTTCTCTTTGCGGGCTAGCTTCTGCGCTCCCTTTTCTTGGGAGAGAATGATCTCTTTCATGGCGAATGGGCGCACGGATTTTAGACGGATAGGCTCGCATTTGAATTCTCGTCCCGTAACGCTGAGGATGGCCACATGTTTTGCGATCGCTTCGCCGGGGACTAGAGACGTTGCGACCGACGAACCGGGTTGCATGACGTGGAATTTTGTTTCGGGGTTGAGTCGGGGGTTGATGAGGCATTCGTGTTCGTGGCCCCAGATAACTAGATCCAGGAATTCAGGCAGAAAGTTCTCGGGCAGGTAACCGGTTTCAGTGTATGCGTGGTGGTTCTGATGGACAGACATCAAGTTGAACCAGTCATCCTTTTGGATCGACGGCTGGTAGAATTTGACTTTGCCGTCGCGAAACGTGCGGAATAATCGCTCGTCGCGGACATTGCTCATGCCGTAGAGCGCTAGTTTGGTACGCCCCTTTTGAAGCAAGACCGGCTTGATGTGAATGTTATCCGACTCGGGAGTCCGCCCGTAGTAGTTCAGCAGTCCCGAAACCTGCAGCAAATCCAAGGCGGCGAGATGGCCTTCGCCGGACGGGTCGTCGTGGTTGCCGTGGATGGAGAAGATTGGAATCGCCACGTTGATATCCAGATCCTCATAGTTGACGTGGTTGAAGGCTCCTTGGAAGTTCTCGCTCGCGTCGCTGAGCATTTCAATCTCGCACGGCTTGTCTCCCAGGCAGTTCATGCGAATCGAACGCATCACTTGATACATGGATTTTCGCGAGGGCTTGTTCTCATGGAACAGATCACCAGCTAGGAGTACCATGTCCACATCTTGCTCTTTGGCTAGGCACATCACCTCGTGGAAACTTTTCCAGCTGTCATCGCCTCGGATGGGATCACGTTCATTGTAGCCGACATGGTTGTCGGTTGAGACGAGGATGCGGATGGTTTCCGCGTCTGGACGGATTAGCAGGGATACATCGTGGCGAAGAAGAAGATCCGCTTTTAACTCACTCCCTAGATCGAGCATTTTGGTATTCTCAAATACGGAGATCGAAGATGTTGTAGTTGTAGTAAATGCCGGATATGATGGGTCAATTTAAGCTGCGCGGGCCTTCAGTGGGCAAGTGCTGCCTGAAACAGGCAGAACACGATGTTCGACCAGATGGTAGATTTCTGCGGTCTCAAAGGCCCACGGGGAGTTTATCATCTGTCCATGAGACTACGGAGTACAGTTCATGTACTCTTCACCCGAGATGAGGCACAACGATGTCACTGCCTTCTCTGCCCTTCCCAATCGGGTTCTGCGGCGGCGCGTCATCACGTGCCCGACACGCGCCTGGCCGGCGAGACGTGATTGGTGGCGACGTCGTTCTCCAATCGCCTTTGACTCACGCCTCTTCTTCCGCTCCCTTCTGCTTCTTCTCCTTCGCAACCCCTCCTACTCACTCTTTCTCTCTCTCACACCTTTTCTCGTCCCCTCGAGCGCTACTTTTACCTTTGTCCTTCCCCTTTTCCGGCTCACTTCTCGACCTCTCGACTGATCCAGACACTTTTCCTGGTTCAGTCGCCTACATTGATCCCCATTACCCCGCGAAACCTTTTTATGCAACCAGAGCCCGCTGCAGTATTTGACCGGACGCAACCAGACCCTTCCCCCAACGAGTCGCACTCAAATACCCAGCATGGACATGATCTGTGTGTCGACCACTCACGCTCCGGTCTTCACCGTGAGTCCGGAGGCCCTGAAACCGTCCATGAGTCAACGACGGGCGGGGATCAATCGCCCCTGAATCCGGTTCCTTCCGGTTTGTCAACGCCACCCGGTGATAGAGTTAGTCAGTATGAGAACGCAATGGGGCAATCATCCAGGAGGCAAGACGATCTTGGATCCCAAATGGTGCCTTCGTCCGATCACTCGGACCTGTCCCTGGACGTTTTCCCGAACGGTATGTGGACTCGTCGGTCTTATCAGCCTTAAAGGACAACCAATCATCTGACTGTATGGACTTATAGAGGTTCTGACTCACATCCTTTCGCATCTTCCACCGTCATCATTGTCGTCGATCGCATTGGTGTCACGACGATTCCACAGCTTGGTTACAACCCCTCATGCCTGGCGGATCGCATTCTCTCGTTTCTTCCCTGGTCCGTATACCACCGAAAACGGCACTCGACTCATTGGATATGATCAACCGGAGACTTTGACGTCCGACAAGCGCTTCTTCTCTAGATTGACTGCCTTGGCATCCTGGCGATCCGAATACATCCTCAGAACCCGTCTCATCCGATCCCTGTCCAGAGGCAAGCCCGCTTCGTTCGAGCCTTCAAAGAAACATGGAACTGTTCGCACAGCGAACGTGCGCAATGGGAGTGCGATCGCAACCTACACCTCGCAGCTGTTGTACCCTGTGAGCCATCTACATGGGACATTTGGGACGGAGGTTGCCAAGAAGGAACCTCTGTTCATCCATGGAGCTTCTGAACAGGGCATCGCGTCGGCCAGTGACCCGTCCAATGTAAAAGTTGGCACGTGGGGTCTCTCCGACCATCAGCTTTTCCGACACTTTGCAGACCTGTATCCCGGTGATGCCGAGTATGGGCTGGGTTCTGGGAACATGGTTGGTCTGCCAAATCAGATGGATGTCAGTCAGCCATATGGTATGATTTACGGCGAGGGATGTCCTCAGGGACGCAGTTATTTTATTTCGACCACTGAGCTACGTGGGCGCTTCTTGGATCTCACGGAAACCGTCTCGCAGCCTCGGTTGGGTATCCCCGCCCTGAACATGATTACCACAGCTATCACGGCCGTCTGGATTGCCAAGTCTTCCCATGTTCTGAAGATGACCGGCGGCTTGGTGGGAATGTTGTCCGGTACATCCTCGGGTGTTCTTTCAGCCTTTTCACTGGGTCCTCATCCTACGTATGAAAAGCGATTCGAGAGAGGTCAGGTCACTGCTAAATGGGCTCTGTGCCCTGGTGTGCCTATCATTGCTATTGCTGTCGATGATAACTACTCTCCTCGACGCAACGCGCGCCGCCGCATTTGGGCTACCGTGCTCAATGCGTTGGGCGAGGTGTTTTATCTCTCGGATTTGCCACAGCAGCCTGAAGTTCCGTCGGCTAAGATGAGCCCGGAGGAGATGAACATGCTGGCTTGGAAGACTGGGAGAAGTGTTAGTTGGGAACTGGTCGAACTGAGCAGACGAACTGCAAAGCCAGACCCTTACAGTCGGGAGCCTGTTGATGGCAGCTACAGCCCTCAATCTTCTTGCGATGCGATGAAATTGAGTGAGGACCAAATCGCGGCCGAGACCCGAGAAATAGAACAGTTTCTGTCGTTCAAGCCGAAGCATTTCCGCAAAGTCTGCGAGGGATGGGACATGAGACGCGACTTGCTTGTTGATTTTGCCGGCGACGATAGCCACGGCGCCGGCGAGTCAATCACCGTCATTGCCCGAGGCATCGGCGAGCAGGAGAAAGCATCGATACGGAGGTACATGCGCAAAGCCTCACCGTCGGTTTTCCCACCACACGTTGCAGACAACTATCCTCATGGCGGCGTTGGCTTTGCTCCCTCGTCTCTTTTCGGTGGCCCTGCCACCCCTAGTCTTTCTGAGAAATCTGAAAGCTTCCCGCCGTCCAGAGCGTCCGGTCGCCTCAACGACCCAGTCTTTTCGGCCTCAAATACCGAGTGGCGGATCACCGACTTTGTCTTTGGTGATCGAAAGTCTGTCGAGATCACGACCAGTGCCTTGGATCTGTCGACCTATGCCTTGGTTACGGCCGAGGAAGATCCTCTTCTTGGGATGTCTGGTAGTTCGGCAGGCTCTTCGACTATGTCCTCCCCGCTTCCTCACATGAGGCAACCGTCGTCGCATCAGGAGATCCCCGGACAACGTGGTCGATACATGGCTGTTGGCACCAACACTGGTCTTGTGATGGTTTGGGACCTCCGATCACCGACAGCTAAAAACTCTGAAGTCATCAACTCCGTCAATCCAGTTCGCATCATCCAGACCGAGTCGCCTCAAGTATCTTGCGTCGCGCTGTCCTCTCTCTACCTGGTCCATGGTGGAAATGACGGACTCGTACAGGCTTGGGATCCACTAGCGTCATCCACGCGCCCCATTCGAACCATCAATTCTCGCTTTTCCACCCGCGCTCGTCGTCGTTTGATCCAGGCGGAAGCATCCGTCAATGGCGTTGGGAATAATTTCTACGCTACAGGGGCCATTTGTCTGGATCCCGACCCGACCGTTCTTCGAGGAATGGTCGCTCTCGGGACGCACCTGCGGTATTGGGCATACAGCTCATCTGCTGCCGATCAATACAAGTCCGGCAAGCGTCGCCTGCGTCGTGGTCCCAAGGGTGTAAACTCCACGTCCGAGGGCCAGCGATTCAACACCAGTGGTCGTGGGGCAATCTACGACCACATCCAGGACGAGAAGGTTGAGATGCAACGACAAGAGGTAGCAGATCAAAAGGCGAAAGCCCACTTGAGCAACCGGTTCGGTATTGATCTCTTGGGTCCAGATGTTAGCGAGGACCAGGTTATCGCATACGCTCAGCTGCTGAGCGAGGAGGCATTTGCCAGTGAGGCCCTCAAGCATGGCGATATGACTGCTAGTTCTATCGTCAGTTCATCCTCCAGTGATACCATTGGCCGCCGCGATAGCTCCTTCGCCCCGGATGAGCTTTCATCTTCCTCGTCCCCCTATGAAGACCCCGTAGGTGACGACCTGGCTCCCGACATCGCCGAAGCTATTCGCCTCAGTTTGCTTGATGAAGGCCCGAAACCGTTTGAGTCTGACCCTTTCACCTCTAATTCATCGTCCAAAGTCTGGGAAAGTCAGCACCACGTCGACGAGTATCCTTCACCGCCCTCTGACCAAGGGGTGGGCGAAAGCAGCCGTGTGCAAGAACTCACTGATCTTGAATTCGCCATTCAATTGAGTCTCGCTGAGAACCAGCCGCAGGTGCAGGAGGAATTTCCATCCCTTCCCTTGTCTAGCTCTCCCGATAAGGGGAAGGGCAAGGGCAAGGCCCGTGCGTTGTAATATTTTTCGTTAAATATTTTGTGATGTTGACATTTGATCTAACTTTTTTCCCTCATGCTTGATGCATTTGTGTTCCTAATACATCTCGGCTACTCTGCAATTTGTCATAAATAGTGCATTCATCTATCTTATTTCTTATACCAAGCATCCACATCGTTTCTAATGCCTAAGAAAAGTTGATTGTTCTCGGGTCAGCTGGTCTCACCACTACCATGGATTTGGTTTATGGGCTCTATCGAAAATCCCGAACTCGTCCATTTCGATTCCCTTCAATCCCCCCACGGTCACAAATCAAAATAATTTAATGGTTGACAACAATAATTACAGGTTGCTCCAACAGCAAGCAAGTCCCACCTTTAGCAATTACCGGAGATATCACAGGCAATTTTCTCGGCAAGTGCATCTAGAGCAGTATTAGCGCTTCATCTTTTTGGCTTCTCAGAACGTCCCACTTACAGACGGTCGACATGGGATGTCCCGGCGGCAGCAAAGGGAACGACGAGCTGTCTGCCACACGCAACCCATGAACACCAATTACCCGGCCCTGTGCGTCTGCTACGGCCATCGGATCAGTCACCTTGCCCATTGCGCAGGTGCACGACGCATGCCAGATGGTATTGAAACTCTTCTTAATGAACTTTTCGATTTGTGCGTCTGTCGATACCTGCGTTCCAGGAATCTGTTCGTCGCCAATGAGGATATTTCTCATTGCCTTTGTGTCGAAGAATTGGCGAACACGCTTGAAGCCAGCAACCAGAATGTCCACGTCAGAGGCTTCGGCAAAGTAGTTCGGATTGATAATTGGGGCCACGTTAGTGTCGGTTGAAGATATTGTTAACGTTCCCCGAGACTCAGGAGCAACGAGAACAACAGCCAGAGCAGCGTATTGGCTGGTTGCATTAGCTGTGACCTTTCCTGCGGGTAGCGGAACTGTGATATATTCCACCTCAGGCCAGTCGTCTGGGTAGGCTTTTAACCTGTCGTGTGTTTGATTGCCCCAGTCTGCTCGGAGAGACGGCGGTATCTTCTCGAATGCCAATGCCTCGGTGTTTGACCCCGTCAACATGCCTGCAGCGTGCTCGGTAAATAACCGAGATTGCTTTGCGGCAAAAGCAGGGTTCGTTAATGAGGACATAGTCAGAACATCCACTTGGTATCCGATATCATAGACGACATGGTCCTGCATTCCTTGCCCCACCCCCGGTCGGTCAGCGATTATTGAGATGTCCAAAGATTTCAAGAGATGTGCTGGCCCAACACCAGAAACCATCAGGAGTTGTGGTGATCCAAACGCTCCTGCGCACAAAATGACTTCTTTTCGAGCCGACAATACATACTGAAGACCTTGCACTTCAACAAGGACACCAGAGGCTGTCTTCGTGTCGTTGAACAATATCCGCTTCGCCATCGCCATAGGATAAACCATGAGCTTCGGGTTTTTGAGCCCCTCGCGAAGGAATGAAGTTTCAGAAGAATCCCGGGTCATCGTCTCGGCGTTCAGGGTGAATGTCCCATACGAATGCCCAATTGCCTCTCCACTCATGAAGCCCGGGATTTCAGGGATCCCCGCCTCAGCGAAAGCCTTGATACTCCAAGTGGTGAACGCCTGTGCATAGTTGGGGTATGTAACCGAGAGTGGCCCATCATCACCTGCCGCTGGTGCGTCATAGACTGGCGTGGCATTAGGAAACCGCAGATCCATATTAGGCTCGCTGAAGTTCACGCTCTTCTTGAAGAACGGCATGAAGTTCTCCCATCGATAGCTATCATCCCCCACCATATCGGCCCATCGACCGTAGGTTCCCACTGTCCCGCGTTGGTACACCATTGAATTTCGAGCGGAACTCCCGCCCAGAGTTTTGCCCCGGGCATAATGGATTGACAGGTTATATGCGTTCTGAGGTCCAATGAATACGTTACCACGACGATTTCCCTATTGTTTCAGGCTCACTTACAGGCTGCGGTGTCGTCGCATATCCCCAATCGATCAAGGGTTGCCAGTCATTCAGTTCTCTGCTCGAGTATATTCCCGTGTATGCTGGTACTTGGCTGAGATTTCCATTGCTAATCTCGTAGAAGGACCCGGCCTCAATCACGGCCACTGTGCCCGCAGACTGCTGGACTAACCTTGTAGCAAGGGTTAGACCTGCCATTCCACCACCTACCACAACATAATCGTAGGTTGCATTCATCCCGGGGATCCCGAACGAAGAACCAAGGAGTGGGCTAGTCTGGGCCAAGGAGGCCAAAAGGCCAAGTAGGGCGGTCTTGTAGATCATATCGATGACTCCCGCCGTGGTAACAAAGGTAACGAACAGATGTATTCCAGCGCTGAGAAAGCACAGAAGGTGCAGAGTTCTACTTGGGCTTTAATCAATCTTGCCAAAGTCACTCGGCACAGAATGGGCAGAATTGGGGCAGAGGCTCTGACACCAATGCCTTGGATCTCGGATTCCCGGAGTCATGTCGGTTCTTTGAAGGTAGGAGCGAGCCAGTGATGACTTCCATCCCTTCGGGCATGTGCCATCTCGGTGAGTATCAAGTAGGGCTTACTCACGAGGCTGAGCCACCGTGATGATATCTAACTCAACATGCGACTATATTGGACTCACCCACCGGGCATGCGTCGGATTCCATCGTATAGGTGAAATACCAATTTGACCGATCAGAGAGCAGTAGATGTCATCCGTCGTGTAACCTTGACCATACGAGCGAGGAACATCCCTGCCAGGGGTTAGATGTGGTATTGCTTTTTTCGGTACCAGTCAACGACCTCCATGCTACGTCGCTTTTGAACTTGCCTAACGCTGTACAGGATTTTCAATCCGTGGCCTCCGAGGCTGAGATTGCACAAACCCCGTAACATACATGTTTCTGTTATTGCTTTTGTTTACTGATTCTTTGAGCGCAATGGACAAAACAGTCAAATGGTATGTATTGTATACCATGCATCAATTAACTAGTGCTATTCGCTGAGATTCAACCCTATCAACTATTGACAGATCATTAATGCGATCGATCACAAGGCGACGTTCTGTCAGCTTGTGCTGTCCAATCTATCTTTGACAAATTACTAGTATAATCGATGGCCATGATACCTGGCCTTTCTGGAGCACGGTGGTGAGGTCAGTCATATCCACCCATCCAAGACCCCGATGAACTAGATTCAGTAATTCCGACAAATACGTCACTTTAAAGCGAATCAGGTTCAAACTTCTACGTGCTGAGAAGTACTCTCCTCAGATGTACCCTGTAGATTGTACAAGGGTAGTACACATCTCGGAGTTCTCGTCTTCGCGTTTCAAAGTCGCTCCGGGACTCCGATTTGGCGCGTTGCACCGATCCATTTACCTAGGGGAAGAAACTGTTATCTAAATTTAGCTGGTCTATAACTACTCCTTCGATTCCAGACGAAAATGTACCCATCTTGGTCAACAATCAATCAACCTCTTCATTCGCTGCCATGCCTACTATCACCGTGTTCAGGGGCCAAAGCGACGGTGTCGCTGTGAAAGGCACCACCACAAAGCCAGATGAGCTTGTTGGTGACAATGTCCTGTTGAGGGTGACTGCATCTGGGGTGTGTGGAACTGGTAATGTCGTCGAATATTCTTGCATCAAAGAAGTATTTGCTAATCACCCTCTACAGACCTTCGCTATGTAAGTGTCAATGCGTCCTCACAAACAGGGACCACTCCCTGGAATCAACTAACCAGTAAAAGAGAACGGCCCCTATGGTCTTAGGCCACGAGGGCGTCGGGATTGTGGAGGCCGTCGGTCCAGTTTGTCGGTCCCTGAAGCCAGGCGATCGGGTCGGCTGGGGCTACGAAGTCGACAGCTGTAGTCACTGCATGCACTGTGTCCAGGGAACAGAACAATTCTGTCCCGGGCGCAGTCTCTACGGCATGGCCAACCACGACCAGGGAAGTTTCGCCTCCCACGCCATCTGGCGCGAGTCCTTCCTCCACAAGATCCCAGACGGGCTCAGCGACGAGGAAGCCGCACCATTACAGTGCGCCGGCGCGACCACCTTCGCCGCGCTCGAAAACATCCGCCCCGGCGACACCGTTGGGATCCTCGGTGTCGGCGGCCTCGGTCATCTCGCCATCCAGTTCGCGTCCAAAATGGGCTGTCGCGTCATCGTTCTCTCCAACTCAGAGCACAAGCGCGACGAAGCCATGAGCCTCGGCGCGCACGAATTCGTCGCTATTAAAGACGCCACCCAGTTGCAGGCCTCTTTGCCCTTGAACAGACTTCTCGTTACAGCTTCCGTACCCCCCAGATGGGATCTGATCCTCCCTATCATGGCGCCCCAGTCCACAGTCTACCCGCTGTCCGTCACACAGGGAAACTTCGAGGTGCCGTACATAGCACTGATTCTGAAAGGCATCGCCGTGAAAGGATCGCTTGTCGCGTCGCGGAACCAGCACCGCAAGATGCTGGAATTCGCGTCTTTGCATCAGGTGAAACCGATCGTGGAGAAGTTTCCCATGACTGAGGAAGGTATTAATCAGGCTATGGGTAAGTTGGCAAAGGGTGAGGTGTATTATCGGGCTGTGTTGGTGCCGGTTGATGCGTAGCTGGTAGAAGTCTCTCAATGGGGTTTATGAAGTCGGCATGGAGTTGACACGAGCTATACTCTCCTCTCCTTTCTCTCTCTCTAAAAGTAACAAAATCCATACAAACTTTCCCGAACATTCAAATCCAGTCCAAGTCAAGCAGGGAGGCAAAACCACAGATCGAAGTAAAGATAACGAATCACGATAAAGATAAAATCATGCCATAGTATTGTGGTTTATATCTTCAACTAGTAATTAAGAAGTATAGCAAATGCCTTTTTCCCCCTTTTTCTATCCATCTCTCTTTCTCTTATTCTCCCTTTTGCAATGACTCGAGGGCCGAAGCCAGTAAGGTAGTTGGGATGGTCTCACAAGGCAAGCTCGTATCACAGCATATACATTCTATAGGTATACACTTGTGATGAAACCATGACATTATTTCATTCTCCAGTCCCTCAATGACGAGAGAGATTTCCAGCACCTCAAAATTTGGCTACCTTAAATTACAATACAATAAAGCATTAGAATATCAATTATTAGAGCATTCAGGAAGGAGAGATAATAGCTATTATTTATTTATTTAATCAAGTTTATTGTCCATATCGAGCCCTAAAGCTATGACAGACCATATTCCATGAACTCGAGGCCAGCAGCTTGCTGCATCTTGTCCCTATGTGTTCCTGGGGCATGCCCCCTTCCATGATCATTCTAATCCTTTTCCTCGCCCCAAGCCGCCTGTATGCGCAGGGCCTTCGAGCCTCTGGTGAGTGCTCTCCTTGTGTTTTTGGAGCAGGGTGGGTGCAGCCTAAGCTAAGAGTCCGCTTAGGCTACCCTCCTAGCTACCCTTCTCCTGTCCTGTCTGCTTCCTCCAATGCTTCCAGTCCCCATTCATTGTCTATCTGGGCTCTTTCTGCCACCCGCTGCGGATGCCCCCGAGGAAGAGCTACACTGGTACTGGCCAGGAATTGTAGTAGAGCCCCAGTAGCCTTAGGCTCCCCGAGAAGTCTTCCTTCTGGACAGTCCTCTGCAGCAGTAGGTTTCATAACTGTACCTGGCTCAAGGAAAATTGGCCCACCGTGGGGGCCAAGTGAGTCGATTCCGTCTATCCATCCATGCCCAACTAACCTCGATAGTGTCTACGACCCGGCCGAGATTCTGAATCCCTATTTCCAAGGCCAGTACTGCGACCCTTTCAGCTCTCAGGCCGATCCTTGTACACTGGGAAATTACGCCGTCTACGCGATCAATGTCACCGGCGTAGCTGACATCCAGGCTGGACTCGCATTTGCGACCCGCCACGGCCTTCACTTGGTTATCAAGAACACAGGCCATGAGTAATTACACCGTCTTCTTCCCTCCCCCACCTTTCTATCCTTGGTGCTAACTATGTCACTAGCCTGCTGGGGAAATCCACCTGGCGAGGGGCTCTGTCGCTGTGGACCCACAACATGAAAAACCTTGACTTTATCGACAGCTACGTGGGCGACAGTCCATACACGGGATCCGCAGTTCGCATCGGAGCAGGTATCATGTTCGAGTACCTTCTCCCTGCGGCGGCGGCTCGAGGGAAGCGTGTGGTGAGTGGGACGTGTGGCACCGTTGGGGCAGCAGGGGGCTACACGGCGGGCGAAGGACATGGCAGTCTGACTTAACTGCACGGCATGGCAGCAGACAGCGTGCTAGAATGGGAGGTAGTGACGGCGGCAGGCGAGCATCTGACCTTGACGCCCATGCAGCATCCGGATCTGTATTGGGCCCTCAGTGGCGGCGGCGCAGGGACCTTTGCCGTCGTAGTGTCAATGACCACCCGCACGTATGATGATGGGCTCATGAAAGGCACCGAGTTTACCATCTCCGACACCAACATACCTGCCTTCTGGAACACCGTGGACCTGTTTCAGTCCAGCTTAGCCCCCGTAGTAGATACCATAGCCACGCTGACCTATCTCATCTAGGGCACGGAGCTGGTCGTCTTCGCCGCCGTCATCCCGGGCAGCGAACCGGCGCTCATCAACAGCACAATAGCCCCGATTGTGCACAGCCTATCCAAAGCAGGAGTTGCCGTCAACATCTGCTGCCGCTGGATCGGCTGAGTTGCGGCTTTCAATCTTCACCAGTTGCAGACGCGAGCCATCTGCCTTGGGTAGGCCTTCCAGCTCTTTCACATACTCTGCGGTTGTGTCGCGGACGCTGCCAATGACAGTATGCTTTGGCCGAAGCAGAAAGGTTTCTACCAGCGTGCGTCCGATTCCTAACTTCCGTCAGATCAATCATAGGCAGAGTCGACACAGTACTTGCCTCGGCTGACGCCAGAAATGAGCACAACGGTGTCGTCGGAAACAGTCATAATGGCTGGAATGTGAATGGATGGAGAAGGTCGGGTGCGAGTCCGTATCGAACAGTTTTGCGGCTTGCTTGATTGAATTGAAGAATCTCGTTTGGGATAGGATATAGAGCCGAAACCTGGCTCACAGGTCTGGCTAAATAGATATCGAGCTTGCACGAAGACGTGGTGCTCTCGATGCTTAAATGGACCATTAATAATGATTATGTGAGGCCCAGGGCTGTTTCATTGTCTGCTTTGAAATCGGGCGCTCGGGAGAGGAAGTAAATCGACCCCTGTATCTTGTGCTACAGTACAAGGGCCCAGTCTAGGATAGCCCGGGGTGCATCCTAGAGCCCCATCCCTAGTCCAGGGGTGTCGCTAGTGCTGACAGCTCGCCAATGGGCAAAGAAATACGGGCAGCCGCATATTGTGCCTCATCCAGACGCAGGCCTTGATAAATGTCTGCCTAGCCAGCACCGGATTTCTCCTCCCCTTTCCCCCCAAGGACTTACATTTCTTCTTTGTCATTGACCATGAGCAACGCAGTCACTCCCACTGAATGGTCACCGTTCGCGGTGCTGGTTACCGGCGTTGCGGTCTTGGCGCTGCTTCGCGGGCTGTACCTCGTGGTGTACAGGCTGCACCTTAGTCCACTGGCTCAATTCCCTGGGCCTAAACTCGCGGCGCTGTCAAGCTGGTACGAGGCGTATTATGACCTGATCAACAAGGGCCACGGCGGCCAATTAGTCTTCCAGATCAAGCGGCTGCACGAGCGGTACGGCCCCCTCGTGCAGGTCGGGCCGAACGAGGTCCACATCGATAATCCGGATTACTATACCGAGATATACAGCATGGCATCACCCTCCAAACCCATCGATAAACTAGTATAGTATAAGCACCGGTTTGGCATGCCTGAGTCGACAATTAGCACGGTTGAGTCGAAGCACCACCGCATCCGCCGGGCGGCCATCGCTCCTTTTTTCTCGCGTGCCCGCATCAGCGCTTTGGAGGGCACGCTGACGGACGTCATTGAGCGCATTTCGCGCCGGCTAGCGCGCGAGTACGCCGGATCTGGGGCCGTGACCAATGTATGCGACATGTGGGGGACACTGACGGCCGATGTTGTCTCGGAAATGGCCTTTGCTCGCTTGACGCGCTTCGCCGCCGCCCCGGACTTCTAGTCGCCTTACTCGTATGCCCTAATGGGCTGGGTCTACGCCGCCTATTATACCACCCACTTCAGCTGGATCATGCGCATGGCTCAGTGGATGCCAGATACCGTTATGGGGGCTTTGATACCATCCTTCAAGCCTATCCTAGATTATCGCGTGGTAAGTGTTGCCCCTGGTCGCGCCGAGAATGCCAGCGTACTTCGCGGCCAACACATTGCGATGCAGGCCATCCAGCGACAGATCCGAGATGTTCTGGCGGGCAATAACGTTGAATCCAAGGAGACTACTCATCCCACAATATTTACAGACATTCTGCAGGCCGAGCTGCCCCCAGCGGAGCTCTCTTTCCATCGCCTAACGCATAAGGCGATGAGTGTCAGCGGAGCAGGCATCGAAACCACTATGTGGACATTGTCTGTGGCCACCTTCCACATCCTCTGGAATCCCACCTTCGAGCAGCGGCTTGTCTCCGAGTTGGTAGAGGCCATGCCCGACCCGAACCAGATTCTCCCTTGGGTACAGCTAGAGAAATTGCCGTTTCTATCGGCCGTCATCAACGAATGCGAGTGCAGCACTCAGTTATCCTCCCAGTGACATATGCTAATATTTCTGATTCCAGCCTTGCGACTATCACTTGGCTCATCTCAGCGCCTGCCACGCGTACATCGTAACCAGGACCTGACGTATGGTAAGTGGCAGATCCCTGCAGGAACGGCCGTCAGCATGGACAGCTACCACATCCACGCGAACCCGAACATTTTCCCGGATCCGCACGAATTCAAGCCAGAGCGGTGGCTGGGGGACCCGATGAGCTTCGACGGGAAACACCGGCTGTCCTACTATTTGACGTCTTTCAGTCGGGGATCTCGCGTGTGCATAGGGATGCATCTTGCCATGATGGATATATGTACGTGGCGTTGGCTACGATCTTCCGTCGGCACAAGCTGGTGCTGTTAATCAATCTCGTCTAACCCATTGACGTAGTAGGGGTCCCCGATGCTATTTTTCATGCAAGCCCGCTACACTCAGGTGCCCGAGGCAAGCGGATATAGCAGTTTGGCCAATAAGGGGACGACACATTATGCCAGGAAGAAGGGTAGCTGATACATACATAGGTAGCTTCACTGACCCCACCAGACCAACAGTACTTTTGGTAGTTACTCATGTCCACCGTAACTCCTAGCGCTTTCCCCCTATCAGAGCTGCATCTCTTGCTTGAAATCGAGTTCAGGGGACAGTGTTTGAATTTGATGGTTCAAGTTCTAGACTAGGATGCGACAACAGATCTAGGTCTTTTCTTCGCCTCTCAATGATCGTGGGAGTAAATTGTGAGTGTGCCAAACGAACTCTTCAAAGGTTGCTCGCGTTCCTCTAGAATTGCCTTTCCCTGCCTCCAAAAAGCAGTCGATTTGGTCGGCCAACTCAACACGCACCAAAAGGGTGCTTGTGAGGGAGGCGGTAGAAGACTGGTCTCTCGAATGCCAGCAAAGCGGAATCAAGGATAATATACTTGTCAACTACTAACCTGCCGGTGTGTGGCTTGAACGTGGCCAGAAGCCGGGTAGCTGAGGGAGCTGTGGGTGAGTACACGGCCTCCAAATATATGTATCCGTTTAGGCCGGTTTAACCCCTCCTTACACAGGGCACTTAGTAGCAAGGAAGACCCGCATGATCTGCAACATGGACAGGTGAATCAGGATAACTTAGTATATAATCAATATTTGTCTCACTTCAAGGGCCTAGATCACTTTAATAATCGTAACTCCAGAATGAATATTCAGGGCCGTATCCACTCGGCTTCCCGCCGCCGGTGGGATGCCTGTGGTGGGATGCCGAACCACAGGCATCCCACCTCGCCGTACCCGAACCGTCTGTAGAACTTTATTGACAAAGGCTCGAGATGGGAGCATGGTTCGGTAAGCAGCCAACATCCATTGTGACTAAGTTCAAGAGCAAATATTTTAAATGATTTGGCATGTCTAATTATTAAACTCTGACAACTTGGAGAGTTGTTCTAATTATATCGTTATGGCGGTTATTTAGCGCTGGTGAAAATCAATTAGTAGCAAATTATATCCAGTCAAACGCGATACGGTCATCGTTCAGTTGCTTCGATGTATGAGATATCCACCCTTTTGAATCGCGGTTATCCCTGGACCTCTGCTGTGAAGCAGTACCTCGAATCCACGCAGATTGTTGGCCCGGTGGTGCATTCCACAATTCATCGCTATCCGGCATGCAGAATTCCAAGTCTGCTAGGGTTAAGAGCTCATTTTTCAAGAAATCGCCATTTCTGTGGGCCTTTTTCTCTGTGTGAGAGTCGACACCACGAGCACATAAACGACATACCTTGTAAAGCGCCAGGCCGAATCGTTTGATTTCTTCCACGCTCACCCACACAAGTGCCAACGGTGCAGAGGGATGGTGTTTACTGAGCATTTTCGGATAATTGAACAAGCCCAGCTGTCGGCAGGTCTCTACCAGTGCTGTAAGAATTTCGTATGCGGGGGCTGATAGTCGATAACGACAGTTCAAATCGAGGGTGGTCTCTTGTTCGGCCACAAAAAGGGCCAGTACAATATGTATAAGAATGCTTTGATAGGTCGCCATAGGCCAGGGCATTTCATTGTTCGGACATAAGGTCGATTCAGACACATACCATTCGGACTGTTACGGGGAAATGTCAGTGTGTTTAGCACATTACTGCTACCGGGGAGATCTCGCACTCTTTGAGCCTCAATAGCAGATATCAATTTGCGATGAAAGACCATCGCTGCATCGCGAGATTCTTTGTCGCCTTTGATCCAGAGTCCCATCATCACCATCGATTGAAGAAGTATACATGGTTCTTGCGGCATCTTGAAAGTCCCTCGATGCAGAAACGGCCAAGCGGGGTGGAAGTCGCGGAAGTAAATATCAATGAATTCTTGGCCTACCCACCTTGACGTGCTAGGTACAAGGCCCAGTAGGTCCATGTTGATGAGCGTTTCATTTTCTCGTAGAGCATCGACATTCTGAACGACGCTTTGTCGCATGAGTGAACAATCCGTCCCTCGGCGCTGACATCGATTACAAGGGTATCCGCCGTCGCAGCGTTCCTTTCGAGTATGGCAAGAGGTGCAAGCCCTTTGCGCCCGAGATGGCGGCAATTCTCTGTCTGGATGGTACTTCCGGACGTGACGACGTAAGAGATCACTGGAAAACAATTAGTCTTCATAGTTTTTCATGGCAATCAGGGCAGCTGGAGGTGATCATAGAGCATGCCTCCTGGTTAAAGTACTGTCACAGTAAGGACAGGGACAGCGTTCTCTTTGATTATGGTGTGACATATGTCGGTTAAGGTGCTCTTTTCGTTGATAAGTCGCATGGCATCCTGGGTAGTTGCATCTGAAAGACAAGGAAATGCTATCAAATTCCGAGCGTGACAGCATCGTGGTAACTGGCCTGTTCCGTGCCTCTTTTTCTCTTCTTTTCCCTTGCCTTTTCGGACTAAAATGTATTGGAGTTCAAATACTTAGGTTGAGCAAGAATGAAGAAAAGTGAAGAAAAGTGGAGTGGCAATGGATTCACCTCATCAGCGGTTGCTAACTAACTAATTGGCTCTCTAATATGACTAAACTCGGCATCCCACTCGGCGACTCCCGCTTCGATGAACTATAATTTGGCTGTATTTAACCAAAGAACTTTTGAGACCTTTGAACAGAAATATTTTACTATATCCTTTAATGCATACTCTATCCTGGGCAGCGACCTATACGCCGATGGCCCACTCTCTCCATTCAGACTCCGGGTCGCAAGTCATGCCCGACAACAACGCTGAATTGATTCGGAGCTACACAGCGGATGCAGAAGGCTGTACCCCTGACCAGGCTGAGTCCACCATTTCTAAGCTGCCTGGATTGTCAAATCCCCCAAGCTATGAGGTCTTCTGGGAGCCAAATGACGCCGAGAACCCCCGTCTCTGGCCACTATGGTACAAAGGCGTCAGTGTTGTGACGATGAGTCTTGGGGCAACGGTTGTCAGCCTTTTCAGTACTCTATACACATCGGGAATCTCAGGGTTGGAAGAAGAATTCCACATTTCAAGAATTGTCGGTCTTCTGGGTGTCTTCACATACCTACTCGGTATGGCTATAGGAGGCATTGTATCTGCCCCGCTGAGTGAGATTGTTGGACGGCGACCGGTTTACTTGGTCTCCTTGACTATTTTCCTCTTGCTGGTTCTTCCAAGTGCCTTGGCTCGAAATATTGAAGCCATCCTAATCGGCAGATTCTTCGGCGGTCTATTCGGCAGCGCGATCATGGGGAACTCGCCCGCTTCGGTAAACGACATTGTCTCTGATAAACACCGCGCCCTGGCGTTCGGGATCTGGTCTATTGGGCCTACAAATGGTCCTGTATACGGCCCTATTATTGGGGGATTTGTGTTCCAATATTTAGGGTGGAGATGGACCAACTGGATTGTCTTAATCATCGGTGGTGCCGTTCTCGCCTTGATGTGCTGCATCAAGGAAACATACGCTCCGGTGATTCTTCGAAAGCGGGCAGCAAGGATTCGGAAAGAAACAGGAAATGTCAAATGGTGGACTCGCTACGACGGTGGCGAGAAACTTTCGAATCGCCTCCGGACTGGTCTCGGCAGACCGTTTATCATGCTAATGACGGAGCCAATCTGGTAAGCATTACACCCTAAACCCTAGTACACTGGTATCGATGTTTGAGACTAATACGCACCTTAAATTAGTATATTCTGGGCTTGCTATGTTGCGATCGTCTATGGTGTTCTTTATCTATGTTTTGTCGCGTACCCTATCGCGTTCCAGACTAACCGTGGTTGGTCTCCAGGAATTGGTGGTCTCTCCTTCGTTGGAATTGGAGTCGGTGTCCTCATCGCCATCGCATGTGAGCCTTTCTTCCGCAAAGTTATCAATGCGCATCGCAAAGATACTTTAACCGGGGAGGTGCCCCCGGAAGCGATGGCTAGCATTGTTATTCTCGGCGCAATACTTCTCGCCATCGGCCAACTGTGGTTTGCCTGGACTTGCACGCCAAATATTCACTGGATTGTGCCTATTTTGGCCGGTGTTCCGTTTGGCGCTGGGACCGCTTGTGTTTTCATCTACGCCAGTAACTATATGGCCCGCTCGTACGGTATCTATACTGCCTCCGCATTGTCGGGAAACATGTTCTCGCGCAGCATTATGGGCGCCTGTCTTCCACTTGCAGGTCCATCAATGTATCAGGCGTTGGGGCTAAACTGGGCCAGTACTTTACTGGGCCTTGTCGAGGCGGCTTGTATTTCCATTCCGGTTATCTTCTACATATATGGCCATAGGATTCGGAAAGCGAGCCCAATGATTCAAGAGATGGAGAGAACAAAGGGCAATGGCGAAAAGTGATTTCTCTGTCTATTCCTGCCAAGAAACAGAGCTTGTGGCCATTAGAAAGCTCTATGATAGATTCTTGATTCACTGTGCATCTGATAAACATAGCATTTATTTTCAAATAGAAGTTCAATTGTCAAGACACCATTCTGCATACAGGTAACTCTATCCGAAAGATACATCTCTTCTTTCCACGTAGGAACTCGCTTGGTTTCAATTGGCGAGGTCCCTGCTGCTTTGGATGCTTAATCAGTCAGATTACTATATAGAAACCTAGCATGTGTGACATCTCATGGTTCTAATTTCTCCTTCTGACATATTTGGTTGTTTGTTAACCGATCTGCTCCAATTTAGCACGGCAAACATCTGAAATTTCCCAGAATAACAATTGATAGTCCTTTTTTCTTGACTATTATTCCAACCTGTGCCTTTGTCATAACTAAGAAGGCAAGAGTGAAACTAGTTGGTGATTACCAACAATGGTTGTTGACAAATGTAAGCTTGCCGGCATGAAAATTCCGTATGGAGCCACAATATGCGAAACCATGGGTCTTTCATGTAAATTGTGGACCTGGGAACCGCTGTTGTTACATGACATAGTCCAGGAGGGATGCCGGAGTGGGATGCCGGAGAAATAAGGTTGATTAATAAGGGGAACTATTATTCATGGTCACTCTAGTAGATTTTTAATGTTTGCAATCAATAACTAATCGCACCTAGGTTTGTTATTTCTTTACTTTATAAGGACTTCAGGATAACTCTCAAATTCGACATTTCCCAACTGAAGTTTCACAAGTTTCTCTCCCGCGAAATATCATCAACCTCCATCACAGCCCTTGCTCATCATGGCTCCTACTCTTGACGTCACCCACATTGGCACTGCCACCGCCATCCTCGAGATCAATGGTGTCAACTTTCTGACAGACCCTTTCTTTTCGCCTGCCGGGACATCCTGGGACGCAGGCCGGATCGTTCTGAAAGTGACAGAAGACCCTTGCCTTCGCCTGAGCCAACTCCCCGTGATCGACGCAGTCCTCTTGAGCCACGAAGATCACCCCGACAATCTTGACGAGCTCGGCCGCCAGCTCCTCGACGGCCGCCGCGTCTTCACTACAGTCGACGGGGCCAAGAACCTCGCACCCCGTCCCGCCGTGCACGGCATGTCGCCCTGGGAAGAGATGGACATCCTCATTGCCAACAAGTCGTTCAAGATCGTGGCGACTCCAACCAAGCACGTTCCTGGAAACGAATGCACCGGGTTCATCGTAACGAGCGAAGAGTTTGGGTATGGTCGTGAAGGTCTACCCAATGCAATCTACTTCACCGGCGACACCGTCTATATTGAAGAGCTCAATTCCATCGCCGACCGATACCATATCTGTGCTGCGGTGATGAATCTAGGAAATGCCCATGCTCCTATCTCTGATGATCCCAATAGTTCCCTCATGCAGATCACCATGGGAGGCAAGGACGGAGCCAAATTGTTTCGCGCACTCAAGGCCGATGTTCTTGTTCCCATGCACTACGAGTCGTGGGGGCATTTCACTCAATTCGGGGCGGAGCTGCGCCAGGTCTTTGAGGAAGAAGGGATCAGCGAAAAGGTTCGTTGGTTGAAAGGTGGCGAGAAGGTTTCTGTGCTGTAAATTCTTCTTTATAGACTTTTCTTTGTCACTATTTGGTAATAAAACATTGGAGATAAAATATCACTTTCTTGCAGTTAAAATGGAATCTATGGTTCTTCGTGCAATCTGTAATATTTGCCCAGACTTGAGCATGGGTTTCACATTCGGCTGGTTCAAATGTTATGTACTTACGTTGATCAGAGCTTATATTCAACCAGTAGAGAGTGGATATGGTCATCAATGAAACAAAGAATCAATCATCAGCCCCGGTGTTGATAACAGTCCTCTATCCATCAGACAATCAACTTCTAGCTGGATGTAAGAGCAACCAACTGGAATCTCATCATAGTCTTCTAGTGTACTCCACGCCACCCAAAGTGGAAAATAAGAAGAGAGCGGACCAAAAGGCCCTATGTCTTCCAGCAAGGGAAATCTTATGCTCAGGTATATTCCCCTTGCAAGGGCTATCGGGTACTCATCCAATGGGTATTTTCCCGGTTGAATGACCCTGTTTTAAACTGTGGCGGGACCAAGGTGGCAATTTCTTGAAAATAGTTCACCTTTAAGGCCCATAGTAACGGATATAAATTGGCCATTGTCACGTAGGGGTAGTATGAGTCGATGACTATCGGTATTGAGAAAGTTGCAATTCTAAATGTCTTGGTGCCAGTAAAGCTGAGAGGAATTTCCCAGAAAGGATTCCCATTCATCGAGGCGAAGACATAAGATTATACTAGTATGTCGTGCAAGCAGTTATATGGAGCTTACACTAATGAGAAGATAGCAATCTCTATTCCACAGTATCTGGGTTTTTTCATGACGCAAAGCGCTATCCCCTGAAGACCTCTAGATAAACGATGAAGCGCCGGTTGAATTCTACTGCTCAGGACTCATATATGCACGCCGCCAGTCGATAGTCCGTAGACAGTTTCAATCGTAATTTTCTCATTGGATATATTGGTTGCCACAGTTTGAAGCCTGTAGCTCAGAGACTAGAGGACTATTGGGGTCGTGTTAATTCGGTGACCTAGGTATTTAAGCCGGGAAGCACATAGACGACTGGACATTCCATGTCTTGTTGATATCTAAGGTAACTAGCACATCTAATCTTCCAAATTCTCTCACTGTGCTTTGAATAAGACTTTCCATCTCGCTTGGGACGGCGACATCTGTCTTGATGAAGATAGCCTTTCCGCCCCTTCTCTGGATTAATTCGTGAGTATTGATATCGCTCTCCTCAAGCCATTGCATATGAGCTATTGCTCTCAGGTCCTCACAGACAACAACAGCCCCTTCTCGGGCATATCGTAAAGCTATAGCACGACCCAGTCCAGAGGACGAACCGGGTGACTTTGTTTGCAAGGCGCGAACCCATATCTTCGTTTGAATAAATGGGTATAATAGCGATACTCATCAATATCGAAAAGGATATATATAGTCCAAACTATTAAGAGTTCTCCTTCAACGGTTCTTATAGTCTCATTTATCAGCCACTTAATTTTACGATCTACTCCGAAGTAGCGCTAAATTGCCCCACTTTATACCTATGCAATATGATCTCCGCACCTGTTGCCGACGGTGGAAACCCGATGGGATGGTGTCGGAGGTGATTCGCCAGAAATAGCAACGGGCTTTTCGGCGTTAAACCTGCCGTCTCGCCTTTCCTCCATACGAAGTAACTGTGGGTGACGGTGGAATGGCCATGGTTGTGCGTGGCCTTTGGTCTTAAAAGCGTGTCCTTTCCACGCTGCCGATCGCTGCCTTGAGAAGTCAGAATTGACTATGCCTAATTTGTCTTGGTGTGTTAGCTGGGTGCAGGGATCAATGTAGTCGGTGCGTACATCAGACGTACCAACGAAGCATTTAAGAACAATACCATGAGCTCCCAAAGATGCTCATCGCCTATTTTCCTCGGGCAGTGTAAGCCGACCTTTTTTCGCAAGATGTCTCGATCTAAAGCAAATGACGCCGACCAGGTTGATTGGAATGCCTTCGTCCAGCAACCTGATAGCAAAGTTCAAGGTAATTTCCAAGATTCAACCAAGAGAGCGATTTTGAACGTGAAGCGAAACTTCCAGAGGTATGTCATTTCCATACAGAGGCTTAAAGGATTCTACCTTACAAGTCTTGTAGGTTTTTATCTAAGCTTAACCCGCCTGACTACATATACTGGATGAAAAATATCACTCTTAGAGTGATAGAGGGATTCCTTCGCTGGTATCTCAGTACGCATAGTATGGCTTACCAGTCTGGGTTTCTGGTCTTTGCATGCTATTTCTGGATTCTTTGGTGCGAAGAGATGGGCAGTCTTTTCAATTATGAGCTTAGACGCAATATGACTATGGCAAGTCCCCGCCTAGCAAACCAGAATGATAACTAACTGAAACAGCTTGTATGCACGACGCTAACCGACGAATATGAGCTTGACATGGGAGCCAAGACACAGCTACCTGTTAATATTGATTATCTGCTCTACAAAACCTATCATCTGATAGCCTTTACTAAAGTGAGATTCGCAACTGTGCGATGCCGGCATCAACACAGCTGCCTGAGGAAGATGATGGCATCAACATCTGCACGACCTGGGACGTTAGTCGAGTCAGGTGGGTATATAAGAGGTAATGACGCTTTAAAATGGAAAGATATCGAGCTCTACATGGTCACGCATCCAGAAAGCCCGGCATGTCAGACTCTACTTATGAAAGTGACGCACAGGTTGAATAAGGGCAAACGAAACAAGGGCGTTTCTTAAGTTACTGTCGGTTGACTTGGTCATTGCCCTAAGCAGATATCCTATCGATTCAACTGAATGTAGGTATATGCTCGGTGG